ATTAGCATAAAAAAGAAGACAAATAAACGCAGAATTAAATTTAATTTAACAAAATAGCAAGAGCATACCAAGTACGACATTTTCTTAATAAAAACAATAAAGGCGGCTGTTGTTGCTAACAGTGTTTTTCGTCAACGATCACTAGTTAAATTAATAATTTTTAAAGTTTGGTTTTGCGAAATTTTTCAGGGTGGGTGGTTTTTTTTGGTCGGTCAGTGTATTTTACTATAAACGTTTTTTTTTTTAATGAATCGTGAACATTAAAAGTAATAGTAGAATGTTAAGTCGTTATCAAAGTAGTACTTAAAAACTTATTTACTTATTTAAATTTACTAAACACCTTTTTGAATCAATGCCAGTGACATACGATGTAGAGTAGAGTCCGAGAAATAGTGAACACTGGCTTTCTATTTATTGGAAGTCCTCGAAAAACTGCTTAGGATTATAACAGCCATGATTTACAATGCTTGTCCGAAAGGATAAAGTGTTGTGTGAATTGAATCTCTTTAAAGATTAAATATTATACTAACAATCGTGGCCCTAACAGGATTTATGGAAAGCGATTTATCCCAAAATTCCAAGTACTATTCTAAATATCTTTAAGTACCCCTTAAAATAATTCATTGTCAAGAAATCTTTCGTTCTCAAAGAACAAAGTGAAATAGTTTTTCCTGTGTTTTGATTGTTGTAAATATATTTTACACAGAACTGATTTTACAGCGTAAAATATGTTCTTGCACATTTAATTCATAGAACCTTTGTTTCTTCCAGAGAAGCACTATTTCCCGGACTCTACTATACTCGTAACTAAATGTATTAATAAAACAAAAAATGGGACGATTCGTTTCTGAGATAATCGATAAAATTGGGTCTTTTGTGATATTCTGTGTAATGTTTTTCAAAAATTAAAACTTGAAACTAACAGCTTCTTAATAAAATTTCAACAGACAGACACACGACAAACACTGGAAACTAAAAACCGGTAACGTACTTTTTTGTTTTCTATCTGTTCAATTTCGTAGAATTTTTTTTTTTCACTAAAACCTAACATGAATGAATTTTGTACCAGACCAACACTGGTGATGTGCCAGTTTTCCCCTAACTAGGCCACTGAAATCGCCGTGTTTTAGTCTGATCACGTGACTTTCTAACTAACCTAGCCAACTTTAAAGCAGTTAAAGACCAATGGCCATCGTACTCACTAGTACCTGCCTCGACGTTAGTAATCCGTCAGTCATTTAAAAATTAAATCTATTGTCACTTCCTCCGGAAGCAACATGTGTTAACTGCCGCAAACATAAACAGAATGTATCGATCAGCCTCGACCACAATTCTCCAACGAAGCCAACCTCAACTCCCAAAAATTCGGCCCCCAATCCGGAGTACTTGTTCGAAAAAACCCTCATACATATGTTTTCTATGAAAGCTGTTCGAGATTGAGTACAAGCGGGTAAAATTATGCTTCGTCACCATGTGGATGGTATAATTTACCAAGATAAGAAGGAATGCGCATCTTGGCGCGAAGCCGCACTTTGATACACTATGGGCTCGGTGTCAATCCCAGCCCCATTTCTAATTAGCCCCGGGATCGATTCTCACCTCCAGTACCTGGCGAGGCGGCCGATATTGGGCCGATAATTACGGACAAGCCATCGGCGCCCTGAAAAGGAATAAATTACAATAAAGATAACTCAGGTATAAGCTCTGGAACGATCGCTTCATCCGCTCGACCATCACGACTCAGGTATTTAAAAATGGCCGCCGCCTTACCAACACCGTCGCAGTTTCTGCACACAGAAAGCATCGCCCGGACTACGGTTATGGAAACACCACAATTCATTTCTTTTAGTTTACTTATAGTATAGTAAATCGTAGGAAAATAGTGGTAGCGTGTTCGCCCAGAAGAACCCCGCGAGATCGGAAACGCCAAATTCTCCTGCGATTTCCTCATTCCCGGAGGAGGCAGTTTTTCCGGCGGGAATGTCAAGAATAATTCAATGAAAAAGCCGTGTTTCCGTTCTCACGAATCATTCCAGACGCCGCGAAATCGAAGAACTCAGCTGAGTCGGCAAGTCAAATGTCGTTGAGTCGCACATGTGGAATGCGACGAACAAATGGCCGCTACCCCAACCACCACCACTAATCGGCCCTTTAAATTTTAAATAGACAATTCCGCCAGACCAATACATCATCAACCCCTGACCTACACAGTTCCTGTGTGGCAGACGCACTAATTATGCTTTAAATTAAAATGAATGTGACGAATATAATGAGGCCGCAGCGGGGACACACCATTACCAACATACCATGATTAAGAGTGGCCCAGGGCGCCTTTCCACCATGGGTCGGCTTTTCCGATAAATCAAGCCCGGCCGACGTGGTGGTGGTTAAACTGGAAGAAAAATTGTTGTATTTGACACAGTGAGGGATTTTTTACAAAACGACAGGGGCAAAGTTTTTAATTTTACACATTTTCATCATCGTTCCTAGTTTCCTTCTATTCTATGTAGGCACTCACAATTTTGATTTACTACCACTTTCAATAATGCTTTACATTATCACATTATAGACTTATTATAGCGTACTAACGTACCGAACTCACCACACCTTAATCGTGATTTTATTCAACAAAAAACTCATCCTAAGGTTCATTATGATAATTAAATTACAGGTTATTTCACTTTGCTTAAAGTTAAACCGTCTATAAATTTTGCCACTTAGTCGTATAATGGTATTTACTAAATATACCAAAGCATGTTGATTTTGGCCCTTTGACAGAAGCCATTATAGTCTTTATCATAAGAAGCAATTTGGTTAGAAAAGTTTAAGCAGTAGCTTCGCCTACTCGTTTTACTTTCTAGTTCGGTCGAAAAGGCGGTACTGGCAAATTTTCTAAACAATTGATGTAGGAAGGTTAAAGTTTCGCTTTCGTTCTATGCTACAAGTACAAGTGTAGTACAGATCAGGACAATGAACATTGGCTTTCTCTTTCCAATTTATTGGAAGTCCTTAGGATTATGGTAATGATAATTACAGCTCTGATCTTTTCTCTAATTGCTTGTTATGGTTATAATAGGTACTTAATGGTCCAAGATTTGATTGTTCGAGAAGCGACCTAAAAGCAGGCAGAAATTCCAAACTTATTTTGCTTATTTAAACGTATTTTTGATTTGTTTTTAAAAGTATCGTAATACCCATTTGAAACGTAAACAATCGTCTAGTTAAATGTATAGTCGGCGCGGCCAAATAGTGAACACTGAGTTTTACTTCACTTAAAACACATGCATAATATGCTACTTTACCTATACTTTAACAGTCCACACGTATCTTTTTATTTTAAGTCCTAGGGGTTATCATAAAAAGAATCCATATTTATTTGTCTGGGCCCACTAAGGGTCAAAATTTTAGCGAGTGGGACGTCATTGATCTTTCACCCTAAAATGTGTCCATCATATACGCAACAAAATATACTTTAACCAGAACTCTTGTGCTGAGTCTGCCTCAGGCGTCTATTAATTTCCACTGATTTTTATGGGAGCTTAACCACCCGCCGTTGTAAACTTATCTACTTACCACGACCTCTGTTTTGATACTGTTAACACAGCTGGCGGTAAAATTTTCATTACGGTCCATCTCGACAAACCTCGTCCTAGTCATCTAGACTGTGGCAAGTTTACAAGCGTCTTGTTAAGCCCTGATTCAAATTAGTGGAAGTCAATAGATGCCTGAGACAGACTCCGTGCAAAAGTTCTGTTCAAAGTATATGGTTTCCATGAACGTCTGATTCATAGAACCTTTGTTTATTTCAGGTAAATAGTTGTAAATTATCATTACTGTAATCCTAAGCGGTTTATTATGCAGGGTTGATGCAGGGTGGATGCAGCTAAATGTTTCTAGAATGGCTTAACAGAACTCTTTGAAATTTCGGGTACAGGTAAAAGTATTTAAAGTCTATCCCTTGAAATGTTACTGAATTTGCCATCAACATTTATTTTGGAGATACAAGGAAAACTTGATTTTTTTAAATGGTACGAGAGGTCAAATTTAATATTTTTGAAAAAATCATTTTTTCTGCATTCAGTGATTTACACATGCCTTTCTTTATTTGCATTAAAAAATAAAATAGAGATAGAGTTCAAATACTTTTACTTGTGTACGAAATTTCAATGGGTTCTGATAAACCGTTGTAGAAATATTTAGCTGTATCCATACTTTTAGCCACTCTGTATAAATAAATAAAATTCTCGTACTCCTAAAATTATATTTATAGTTCGAGCTTTGAGTTCGTTAAAAAACATAACATACTTAGATGTATTTAGTCAACATTACAACAAAATAAACGCCCGCTATAATGTCATTGTCATTAGCGTAATGATAAAAAAGATTGGGCCTAAAATTGGAGCCTTGTGGAATCCCTCGTGCATTTCTAACGTAAAAACTGAATGTGTTTGTTGGAAAACGGTATCACCGAACATGTGAATTTGTGAACTTATCAGTAATAGCGGTCACCGTGTACACAACAGTATTAATAATAGTAAAAATGTAAAACCGTTTCGTGCCCAGTGTATAACGAGTTCAGCCGCCACTGCTTTCCGATAAATCAACAACAACTTTCAAAAGCTGCTTTCGTCTCGCAAGTTCGAGCGGAATTCAGTTCGTGCGACAATAAAGCGATAAGCCGGCTGATTAAAACCGAACTTTCCGCGGTGGTTACAAAGGCTCAGCCGTTTCGGAAAATCGGCGTTGATTTCTCTGGTGATTTCAACGCGCAATTAGATGCGAAAAAGGCAGGTGCAAACCGGAAACGTCCGTTTTGCGTTTTTCGCGAAAACAGGTTCCGGGCCGGAGCGGTCGATTTGATCTTTTTCCGAGTCGAAAAATGTCGAAAGAATTTTCGAAAAACCGGTTTATGAATTCTGAGGCCCCAGCTTTCGGGCGAGAATTCATGAATGATGTTGGATCCTGCGCTTCGTCGATCAGTGTCGGTGGAGTGGTGGGGACGGCAGGCAGAGGCATAAGCAAGGTTTACGTCTGGTAACAACACAAAATCATTGGTTACTTAACACCAGTAACAGAAAGACCACCGATAACGCGACCAAAACCCGGCTACAAAAGATAAATGTTTCAACTACCCTAAGTCCCCTTATGTGATAAAGTAAGTCTAGTGCTGTGTGTATCGTGCTTTGGAGTCGAGACGATGGATTTGCATTGTTGCGAAACCACCGAGAAGGAAATTACGGCCTGCGTCGACAAGACATTGCTCGAGGACCGTATTCTCAAAAAAATGTTAGAGTCGGAAAATAGGTGTGTGCCGAACTGTAACGTGCGGTTTTGCCAGAGGGAGGTTACCGAGTCCATGACTGAGATCGTCGGGGGGTGGATGATGGAGGTGAGTCGGCGGCCCTTTTTAAACTTTAAATACCTGGCCGCCGGCGCAATTTGCGCCATCAGCGAAGCACGTCCCTTTAATTCCGAGGTCAAAAACCCGGCGCGCAGCTGAGGCCGCAAATTTTGCGAATTTCGGTTGGCAACAGGCCGGCTCCGGCGCGGCCTTGGTGGGTCGCCGCCCCGAGCCGGGGGCGGGCTTTAAACTTTAAAAGCGCATCGTTGCAGGTCTGTGAGGAACAGCGCTGCCAGGACGACGTCTTCCTGCTCTCCATGAACTACCTGTACCGGTTCCTCGCCATCACCAACATCAAGAAGAACCAGCTCCAGCTGCTGGGGGCGGCGTGCATGCTGGTGGCCTCCAAGCTGCGCGAGTCGCGGCCCCTTTCAGCGGAGACGCTGGTCTTCTACACCGACCACAGCATCACCGTCGGCATGCTCACGGTGAGTTATCGGCCACCTCCGGAAGTCGCTTATCAGTGCGAGATCGATCAATTTTCGCGTTTTTCCCGCGGAACAATGGGCGATAAGCCGCGGAAAACAATGGCCCTTGCGGCCGCCGCGGGCGGCGGCGGAGCGCCGCTTTATGAATGAGCGCCGGCCGGCGATAACGCGATGTCAAAGACAGCTGATTTCGTGACCCCAAATTATCTCTGCTCGTCTTCATCGCGCGAATTTCCATCGCGCTTTCCGCAACGTTGCAGCGTAGGTTTAAATACCTCGACCACCTGTCAGCTGTTTTTAAAGTTCCTTGTTTAGCTCTCTTTATCTTTATTGTTTGTGATAATTAGTCGCGTAATCGTTCGTTGACCCAGACTTTTTCTAGGGAATGTCGATTATTTATTGCTTTTCCGCACTCGCATCGCTTTTCCGACCCCAAAACCCCATCGTCATCGTCCATTGTATTCACCGAATTTTAATTCCCAAGGACGCGATATCCTCTCCAAATTTTCCCTAGTCCTACCTGTCGCACGACAGGTAGATACTCGGCCCTAGGGGGGTCCGACCCGCCTTCTCGGAATTAGGAAATCCTTCGACTTTTGATTGTCAAATTCCCGAGGATGGTTGTTTGAGTTTGCCGCAACGTTTCTCATCCTTTGTGACATTAATGCTTTTTAACAATGGAACTATTGTGTGGCGGTGGCGCCGCCAGACTTGGGGCTTTGAACACTTTTTTCGTGCGGTGTTAATGCGCGATTTATTGACATTGACACTTAATTGACGGCGGCTAAGAATGTGTGGACGGCTGTTAATTGGAACACTGGTTACGTTCACAATTCGGTGCCTCACAAACTCGACTCATTTTTCCTCTTTTATCGTGTAAATAATATTCCGATGTAAATAGTACAAATTCACACGAGACCGTTTCCTCTAACTTCAGTATCATAAGTAAATAACATCTCTGTAAGTGTAAAATGAACATTCGTATCCTGCATGTTTAGATTTGATTATTATGATAATACCGACACGGCGCCACAGTGAATCATTAAAATTTTATTTGTAACAAGACCACACTATGTATGACTAAATAAGTAGACAAAGGATGTGATGCAAATATTATAAAAAGATATACACTCCAAAGTACTTTAAACAAGCGCGAACAAGTCACCTAATTTCGGTTCATTGTATCAATTACCGATAGTTCGTTTATAGAGTTCCCAAAATTTTACCTCAACATTTTCAAAAACACTTTCGTCGTCACTCCAAACCTTTCCACTAACAAAATGCAAATCTTCTACGTCTTTGTTAAGAATTGTTTACACGATCTGTTAAAAGTGCTGATTGACCGTCTCACTGAGATTTTATAAACAAGTATAACCTCACTTTTTCATTTTGTCGTTTGACTTTAGGATGACCCAAAATTTTGCAAATTATTGCACGCAAATGAGTCCTTAACCACCTCTGTAAATTCTTGTTCAATGAGAGAATTTAAGGAACTGGTTTATTACAGTGTCATTAGCCACCATGGGGGGCTAACCTCGTCCATCTCGTCATACGAGGACTTCAGCTACGCCTTTTATTGTTACAATGGAAATTCCAATTCTTTTCAGTTTCAGATTTAAACATTATGATCGAACCACCACATTATCTATTGCAATCTTAACGATTGTCAAGTTCATTGTCATCATTACCAACAACCCGGTTTAAAAGGAAGTCGCTTTTAATGGGACTCTGCTTATTTCTGTAGGCATCTACCAGGAATCTGTCTTTTAAGCCTCGTTGCACCTATTGATGGCGGTTCCTCAAACCACGTCAATCTTCCATTGACAAAAATGTATGGTTATTTTAAGCAGTCGTGTAATTTAAGGTGATTATCACCATTACCACGATCAGTGGTTCGTCAAAGGTTTGGATTTCCATGAGAACAAACCTTTTCTGCGATACACAAAACAACAATAGTGTCTTCGGGTGAAGAGGTACCTGTGATCCCTTTGGTTGTCTTTGTGAAGGCTAGCAACTGATTTGAACACAACGACGTGTTAAAAAAGCACAAACGTAGATTAACCGTTCTTTCATTATCACTATTACCACAATGGGTTGCTCGGAGGAAAGTCAGTGCACTTGGAATGAAAACAATAGATGATGGTCGTGGTTTTTCCGGTTCAATTTTTTAAATATCTTTGCCGTTCGTCGATTGTTTTAGGCACTTTTGGTCAAGTTTCTAATCTATCGGTTACCAGAGTGGAATCGCAAAATTATTTATTTAAGAACCATATAGTCAAGCTTATTTGGCGTTAAAAAATAGACAGCCAATCCAATAGTAAATCCGCGTTCTTTTTGCAGAATCGAAAATGAAATTATCTCGTCTTGGCCCCTAATTTTTTAATTGTAAAGGTCATAACTTTTTTATTATTAATGCTACTGCAAAAAGTTGTTGATAAAAGTTTTAGATAATCATATTGACTACAAAAACGCTCTTTACGAATTTTTTGTCAGACCCATGGTTGTGGAGATATATCAAAATAATAATTGTGCCCGAATTTCGAAGATTCAGTTTTACGGTTATTCAAAATCGACGGTATCATGCCGGATTGACTGTACTAATATCTACTTTGCGCTTTGCGTCACCTAGCGTTACTCTTTGGTGACGTTTAAGGAATTAATCGGATTCTCACTTCTCACTTTGCTTTCTTTTCGATTTTAATTGATCTGAAGTTTTCCCGGTGGCGAGAATCCTCTTGGGCTATAATTGAGTGTTAGCGGTGTCTGCGAGGTGCTGCAGAAGGTCCTGGGTGTCCCTTTCCTTCGTAGTCTTTTTCCAGCTCTTCCTCTAACTGCACGGCAAACATCTCCTGCCGCTTCATTTCGCTAATTTGATTTGTACAATCGGCTTCTTAATGAATCCCGCGAACAGGCCGGACGGGTCTCGACTAATGGACATTCCGTGCGAGCCAGTGGCCGCGACCTTCATCCCTGCTGCCAGCAGGTAGCCTCCTCTTTCTCCTCATCTGGTGCCGGGGAAAAAAGCGAAATTCCTCACGACGAATTTTGTTCCAGAGCTGGGAGCTGCTGGTGCTCAGCAAGCTCAAGTGGGACATCGTGGCCATCGTGCCCGTCGACTTCCTGCCGCACCTGCTCATCCGGCTCGACTTCGAGCGCGTCGGCCTCAAGCACGACCTGGTCAAGAAGCACGCCAAGATCCTCATAACCCTCTGCGCAAAAGGTGAGTCCGCGGCCTTCGCCGATTTAACGGTCGCTCTCCCGAAACAAAGACTCAAGGTCCGTCCGGCGCGCACCTAACGTGGCCCCCGGAGCCAAATCGAGAGCGATTTCGGCCGCCGAGCCGAGGTCTGGCCGCCTTTCGAGGGATTCGCGCTCGCGGCCACCCGCGTCGGAGGCGCGACCGCAAAGCGCTCACGTGGGGCCGCCGACACCCACATCGGCAGTCATGGCCGGACACGAAGGGCGCCGCCAAGGGACCGCGATTTCGAACCGACGCGAAGCCAAGGCCCGATATCCGTGGGAAAACTCCAAGCGAATCTGCTGCTTCGAGCACTCGTCGATATTTGATGCACGAGGCTTGCAAAACATGGAACTTAATAGCGATACAGAATCCTGTTGCTTATCTGACGGCGGAGTTGTGGAAATGCTCTTTCAAGGTCACGGGTTACCCTGCGAAACGAAACCAGTTGCTGCTTCGGTATTTTTACTTCCTGAGTACTGCACGAGGACGATGGCGGTTTTGGCGTTACACACTATTCATGCTTTCCGAAAAACGATGACGTAACCTACAAATATTTTAAAAGAAGTTTCATGTGAACTGTGGAACGTGACATGCTCCTTTGCCTGTTTAATAATAATCGGCCCATATGTTTAACTTTGCTGTAAATAAATCAAGTTTGAACTTTATAAAGATCACGGTTTATCGTCGGGTCTACAGACTTCGTAATTTGGTTAAGACACTAATGGCCGTACCCTTCGTAAAGTCGGTGACGTCAGCTGAGAGAATTAATGAACAAATCTGTTTTATTTTTAGAATTATTAATGTAGAACCGTCTATTATTTTTAACAAAGCTAGCGAACGAGAAGTCTTAAAAGTTCTAAATAACCTTGTCAGTAAATTTACATATGGTGATGATCTTTTTTGGCAAAAGACTGCAGACATAATAGATCATGATATACCTACCTACTATTGAAAATGTTAAATGCATTTCGATTTTCCTCCCATTGTCACGTTTTTTTTTTAAGATGACGTCGTCTGTTTTCCGGAGAGCATGAATAAATTAATTTTGGTTGACGTTTGGTAACCCTCAAATCGATCCATTACCGATTTCACTGCAAAATCATTGAGAATGAAGTTTTTAAGAGTTTTTTAAACCGGCTGAACAATGCGCCACTAAGGCAAGTTTTCGCATCGATTCGTGTGAAAAATGTAGTGTACAAATTCTTGATTACTGGCCAAATGAAGCGTTGGATGTCGGTTTCTTGCGTACTTGGAGTCCTGTTGAAAATACCTCGTTCCAGAGCCGCAGCTCTTCGAACGTCTCCCAAAGAACAAGTACCAGCACAACGTTCGTTATTGGTTCCTGCAGTTTTATGACAGGTGTTTAGGTCGCCCCGGTTTCAGCCGAAAGTGACGGTACTGTCGGTACTTTAAATCACTGCGGCTGGCAGCGAGCCAATGAGGGGACTTCGCGCATTGAGTCCGGAAAGTCCGGATTGTGGGTTCTGTGGCGAGTCGAAAAGGTCTTGCTCGGAACGGTACCACACCGAGATCTTGGTCGTAGAACAGGTACTACGACAACAATCCGAGATTGTCTTTGACCTTTACTACTTTAGAAGTGATTTCGTCAGCTCCTTTTCGGTTCGGTACTCGGTCCTTTCCTCGTTCTGGAAGAGGCTCGAGCGACAGCCTTTTCTGGGACACAAGGCCCCGTTGTCTCGGGCGGATGCGGCGTCTGCTGCACCGCCGAGGCGCAATTTGGGCCAATTTCGCGCCGGACACGGGACCCCTCAAAATCCAGTTTGTTGACCCCTGACGTCACCCGATAGCCTTGTGTCTCAGACGCACGAGGCGATTTCGCGGCCTGGCGCTGCACAAACTGCTAGTTTTTAATGGAAAAAGACGTGTCGCTGCGATGGTATCGTGCTAGACGAGGGCGCCCCGGCGGGCCCCTAACGACTTTTCAATTGAATTATCGCGCCAATTGCTCCTCATTTAAATGGCAACCGTGGCGAAAAAACTGGACGTTGGAATGCATCCTGGCGCTGCTGCATTTCTCACGATCCAAATTTAGGAAGACTGCACGGCTGTCAAGGCCGCTGCACGGGCAGCGGTACCCAACACTCCTCGTCATACGCCATAGTGCCTTTCCGGCTAGGAAAAACCGATCGTATGACCGCGGAGCTGTGTGGTACCGCTGAGCGGCGCGATCCGAAAGTCGCACCCTGGGGCGGCCTCCGAGCTTTCATCACGTTTTCGAGACGGTTTTTTCGGCGCGGCGGTTGATAATTTTAAAGCAATCATCCTCAGAGCCAATTACGTCAAATGTATAATAACGTTTTTCTTTTGCAGAATGTCGGTTTACGAACTACTCGCCCAGTTTGGTGGCCTGTGCCAGCGTAGTCTCGGCGCTCTGCGGCCTGGGCTGGGTCAACAAGTACGACCAGTCGCAGGAAACCCTCATGAAGAAGCTCGCCGACATCATCGACGTCCAAGAAACGGTAAGTTCCCAAAGAGCCCATACTAAGGGTACCACCTTGCCATAAATTGAACTATTGCGTCTTGAAACGACTAGTTTTGGATTCTAACTTAGGGTGCCACTTGCCATACGAACGTGTTTTTGTTTTCGTAATAGAACGTATATAATTCGTTGCATCCACCGTATGACGCGCTAAAAACCATGCCAGAAGGATGTGATTGTTTGTCGGGATGTCAAAGTGGCCGTCATACGGTGGAATTGATTAACACGTTCGGTCAGTGTGATGGTTTTTCAGTGTTTTTTACTGAGCGGAAATCTAAATTGCGTGGAATTATTGTTTTGTGTTGGCAATGTTCCGGAGAAGTGGCTATAATTTGAGCGGCGCTGTCGCATACTACAAGTCTCGTTTGTCCACATGATCAGTGTTGTTTTTTGTTGCAGTACTTCGTGGAGGAGTTGGTTCAGAGCATCGACCAGATGATCAAACAGAACTTGGAGGACAGCAAAGACTGTAAAACAGTGTGTGATGACGTGTCCAGGTCAGAACAATGTACGCCGCCTCCGGCCAAAATGCGCGATTTTAAGACGGCGACAACACCGACTGATGTGCACGATGTTTGTTTCTGAAAAGTAGTTTAATTTTGTGAGTAAGAAGTGATTTAGTCGACGCGTTGTTCGTCAGTTCGAAGGAAGTGTGCAAAGACGTGATGGCTTTAGGGGAAAGCAATAAATTACGCTTGTTTATGAAAAAAGAACTGTTCAATTCGAGTACTTTTGTACTTTTTGTTACAAGACTTTTGCTTTTATAGCGGGTGAATGTAATGTTTGAATATTAGTCAGTTACGATCCTAAGTTTTCTGTTCCTAAACGTGATTCAGAATAACAGATAAACAAACTGAATTGCGCAAGTTTCGATGATTCGTTTAGAAGCTTGCTTAGTAGGTAATAATCTTCAAAGACTGCTAGCTCTAACTCAGAGCAATGACTTACTTAATTTTAATCGTCTTCCAAATTCGACCAAGTCAATCAATGCAATCATAAAACTAATGAGAAAGTATTTTTATCAAACTAGAAATCTTATATTAGACTATTAAAGTGTGATTATATAACTGTAGGTATTTCAACATTGTGTGATCATAATTCTACTAAGAATAGTGATTTTAAAATTGGCGACAAATATGTTATTATATAAGGGCCTTGAACGTACCTAAGGCTGGGTTTATCCGAACGCTCCGCCGCGTCGACGTGGCAAAAAGAAACCAATGATTTAGTCCGTCGTTAAAAAACCACGTTCACGCGGCTTTGCGTTCCGATAAAACCAGTGTAATATGCTTGTGCATACGACTACATGTAGCTTTTTAAGGCAAAAAAATGTATATAAATATATAAGGTAGCCGGTAAGCACCTTGACACTGTACATAAAAATGACCGTTTCCACCACTTACACTGCCAATAACTATTTATAAATTCTGCTCACAATAGTTCAATATTCCATATACCTCATTTTTATTCAGATACAACAGCAAAAGCCCTATAGATTTTTATTATGTGTAGATATCGGTTTTTTTGCACCACGTCTTCCAAGCGCACGTACAAAACGTGGTGCAAAAAATCCACTCATCAAATAATTATTTTATTGTAAATATTAACTAAGTATATACTTATATTGTATATAATATAAATATATGTACCACCCAAATTTTAACGGTTACGTTAGTTGATAAGTTAAAAATTTTATACAAATAAATATTGACAAAACGTGAACACGTCTTTACTTCCCCCTCCACCACCTCGTTAGACGAATTTCGTTAATATCAGTTAACAGAATACTTTTAATTATTGTACGGATCTTGAACATGCCATTAAATTAACGAGCTGAAGCCGTTTAAGGAAAAACTTGACTGCATACTCGAAGAATCGTTGCCCTTATTGTGCTCGTAGTGGGGGACCGTGACTGAATAAAAAAACTCACGTTTTACCGCTAAAACTAACATTTTAGCGGGTAAATGGATTAAAATCCCTATTTCTTGGCGGGATCCAAAACTAAAACGGAACTTTCTTCTCCGTCTGAAAATCCCCAAAGAAAGGCGCCAGATATTCAAGCTCAGTCGAAGCACGTGGTGAGTAGCTCCAACGAACACAACAATGAAGTTAGCCGCGACATCGACCGAGTAGCTCAAACGAATCGACTCGCTACTAAACAATAAAAAAATTAACTTCTTTCAGAAAATTCGTCCCCAAAAACCACCAACAATAAAATTTCAAAGAAAATCAATTTTTAAGTTATAAAATAGTAAAAATATTAATGAACTTGAAATAATAGTGTAGTTTCCTGTAATTCGGCAGCTGTCATTTGGTCTCGTTCTGACTTTTAGGTTATCTAAAATTTGAAACAAATTTAACTTAAATTAGCGACAATAATGTCGTCAAAGGTGGGACTAACTGCGATTTACTATATAATTTAACGTAAACCTTACAGGCTATCAAGACTTTGGGTAAATTCATAAAACCGGGGTTGTTTGATAAAGGTACAGGAGCCTTGCTCCCTGAAGCCTACAAAAAGTTTTATAAAGAGTGGAGACTGACTGAACCTACAGTGGTTCATTACATACCAGAAGAGGGTAGATTCAAACGAGATCCAGTGACTGGCGAAGTGTAAGTTCTATGTATAATTGAAAATATTTTGACTTGATGTTGTAGACAACGTATCCAGAATCACCCCATTCCACTTCTTTTCATCAAAGAATCAAATGAGCAGATATGGGGTGGCGAGCAGGTGATACAAGGGTTTCAAATTAGAGACTGGCGTCGAAGACGCGTCCCGCATTTCTGGTGGCCCCACCTCAAGCGCTCAGTGGTGTACAGTGAAGTCCTAAATCAACATATTTCTGTGGTTGTTACAAACCGCACGATTAACTTAATTCATGCAAACTATGGGTTTGACCACTATGTTCTAAAGGTAATTTTAAATAAGCAAATAATCAGATATTGAAAATGTTTTTTAGACACCAGCATGTGATTTAAAATCACTTCTACCACTTACTTTGAAGCGGAAAATCTTGCAAGAATTACAGAAAGGTTGCCCCACTTATGAAGACCAACCTGAGAAACAAAAAGAAATTCATAATAAATATAAACAGTATTTAACTGCTGTATGTATATACATATTTCTATTTTAGTAATTTTTTCAATGTTTTTTTTCAGTATACTTCTGAAGAAATAGAATGGTATGGATATTCATTTACTCAAGCTTGTAAAAAACTCGAAGCCTCCATTGAAGCCAAAAATCAACCTATTCCTTTGAAAAGTGTGTATAGGTCAGAACTAATAGAAAAATTAAAAGAAGCTAAAATTTCCGCAAGTAGCGAAGAAGTCGCAGTAGGGTATGTAGACGCAATTTCTCTAAACGCAACTTAACATGTCTTGTTCAACAGGAACACCAGCACCTGGTTAAAAAAAATCAATCCTTTTTCCAAAGAAACATAAAAATAGTATCGCTATCGCTTTAGATGTAATAAATAAATTCGTCAACAGATAACTGTATTTTATTAACAACCCCACTCTAAACAATATCTAAATAACAGATCATAATTAACTGATGGTGCAGTCTAACTCTCCATGTTTCGGAAGACAATCCAACGTTACCGCTACAGCTCTACTCATATATGTCATAGTTCCATAACAGCCGCTAGGAGCGCTGTCGTAGAAATGTTGACAGATGTAGGCAGCGCCGCCACACAATAAACCTCCCATTTTTGACGTTTCTCTCAGTTCCTTTGGTTTACCACAACACAGTGTAGCGTCGCCATCACACTTCATCTAAATCAAAAAACCCAATATTTTGAGTAACACAAACAAGTACCAACCTGATCATCCAAAAACAACTCGTTGGCGATATGAACCAGATGCTCTATTTGAATCACGCCACCCAAAGATGGCGCTACGTTATATTCCGCCACTAATGTCAAAACCATCAAAGCTTCGACAATCAGTTGCCGATATTCGGGCTGTGGGATTGTATTTAAAACGGTTTCCACAGCAAGAGCGAACTTTAATTCGCCCGAGGTCATTTCTTGTGTTAGGCTTTGGGGTAAAACTTTTCCAGCGATGTCGATGCCTTGACACTGGAAAAAACATTGAGGAGTATTTTGATAAACGAGAGAATAACTATGTTACTTTTTCAAGGACGCTCCATACGCGAGGGTAGAAGTCACGTGGTACTCTGTTTAAAGCGCCATCTAACCGGCGGCGACGTAACCACTGACCTTGACGATCGGCTTCGATTAAGTCATCGGAGCTTTCAGCGCCTAGGCTGATGTGGCTTTTCTACAATTTACACAAAACAACTTAAGTGACACAAAAATTACATCTATTATGATAATTATACCTTACTGATACGGTTTGACTTGCTGCTAACGACTGAAAAGTTTCCTCTACCTACTGTAAAATTGGATGAATTTTAGAGTTTCTATTTTTTAGTTATTTTTAGTAGACTTACCACTACTAATTGCAAATTCTTTGCCACTAATAATATGATGCAGCAAATTCTTCATCTCAAACGGACTCAAATTGAGCAAGTGCTCCGACGCCTCATCCCCGTCACAAATCAACGTCCTCGACAACTCCGTCGCCATAACCTGAATAATCAACCCCACTCTTAATCTCAACATCTCCAAGAACAGCTGCGGCTCCGTCCTGATAAACATCGCCAAATAAACCAACAACTCCTGGGTCAACATCGCCGTACTGTCATCTTCGCCGTACGCCTCGTGGATCAACAACCTCAACTCGCTTTCGGGTAACGGCGCCGTAATCGTGTGCTCGTTATTGGGGGGCATCCCCACAGTGATTTGTTTTTGCCGCACCAGCAAATCCGTGACTGACTTCGCCAAGTCCTCCACTCTTTTCCCCAGCATGCCTGCGGTATGTCTGACCAAACCCCACATTTTCTGCTGGCAAGCTTTCTCGTATAACCCCTTGAGTAGGTCTCGGACGGTGACCGGTTTGCCGAAGTCTAGCATTCCCGTGTGGAAATCCAGACCCTTGGAGTCGACGAGGTACTGCAAGATGTCACCTTGTTCGTCTAGGGACTCGGATTCGCGCAGCATGGCGAAGAGCTCATCGACTTCGGTGTCGGCGTACTGTGTTTCTGAGTTGGTTTTGTGGCGGGTGACGCTGATGTTGGGGACGGTTCGTTTCTGGGTTAGGGGGTCGGTCTTTTGAGGCTCTGGGGACGGGGAGCGGGCGTGCTCGGCGCTGGCGTGGTCGACGCTGTCTTGCCAGTTGCTTGCTATGAACATGGAGCCGCGGCGTTCGATGGTTGCGTTACCTTCCATGCCCAGAGTTTCGGCTATACAGGATAGCAACGGGTCAATAAGAGATGTGCAGAGGAAATGTATTTGATGCTGTTGAGGTATGTTCCAACGGTAGTTTTTTAGTATGTAGATAGAGCAGCTTTCATAACGAAAGGGTACAGCTGGTGGGAGTGCGCACAACATTGTTTTGGTCTTACAAATATCGTGAGACCAGTGGCAGCGGCGATGAATATTTCGACTTTGAAATATCAAAATATTATTTGTGTTAATAATATTTATCAATTTTCTATTTTATTAGCGTTGTTGACATTATAGAAAATGAATTTAACGGTTTGTTAATGCTGTATTATGATGTATTAGTTGAATAAAAAACTAAGTAAAAGAAGTAAAAAGGTAACTTTTAGTGAGCAATGACAACTGATAAATTACGGTACAGTGTACAGTCAAAGCTATATAAACGACAATTATGCTAAAATATGAACTGTGATTATTATTTCGAGGTTAAAGACAGAAAACGTTAAGCCTTATTGTAATCCGACTTTATAGTATTGACAAATTGTGCCAGAAAATTAAAAACCATGTAACTATAGTCATGGGTTGCTAATTCTCAGGGTTTTATCCCCGCTTTTATCTAAAGATTTAACTGTTGATTTAAGACTAGTCGACTATAAAATAGCGTATGATACTGGTTTATAATGCGGGGTTCGTGAAATTTTTTACTCATGCTATAATCCCTAGTGTTATTTAAGCCTATTTTTTACCAAACAAATAAATTTATTTTTATTAAATGGTTCTGTATTCTATTGTAGAAATTGCTCTATTTTCCATTGTTTTTGAAAGAAATATAACTCAGTGGAAGCTGAGCCTCCCTTCTCAATACATCAATGTTACGCCACTGCTAGTCCGACTACAAGTCGCGCAACTTAAGCCCCGCCCCTGTACCCTTTCGTGGTGAAATTACTTCTACTTCCACAGTGACAGATCCAAAAGATCTCGAAACTGGTGTCACATTAAATTGTGGCTAAATTCACGTTGGAACATTCCTTGATATAAACTACGTGGTGAGTCAGATGAAGGGATTTATTCCCTGATGCCAACTGAACCCGACGCTTCTGGATCAACTTTCTACGTTTTCCTAATCAAAAATTGAGTGTTACATACCATGTTTTAGTAGAATCGGTCGCATGAAAATGTCACCTGAATTCAGTTTAAATAAAGCGCGCGAAACCGACAACTTACAGTCAACATTGATTGACCTGGTCTTCTTGATGGCTCCTCTGACCGACATTCTTCTCTTCAAGTGTTTACTTCTATTTCTGCCGCCAGAGTGCAGCAAAAGCGACGATTTGCTAGACAGTGACTTAACTAAGTGATCTTCAAGATATTGTCGCACTTGTGGGTTCAGCTCTAAGAAACATCATTTAGTCGTCGAAAAACGAAACATTCCGACTTACTGTCCGGCAAGCCGTCTTCGTGGCACCCTAAGAAGCTCAAATTGGTGACGCAACTAGTGCTCAGGAAGTCGTTGAGATTGCCCAGTGTGACCCTCGTGCCGTTGATGTACCCCGACTTCAACTTCTTCATTGTCGTGATCATCGCCAGAGGGATTTTCCCTTCGTCTAGAAAAGTAAAAGGGTGCACGGTTTGCTTGCGCAACTTTCCGAGTGTTAGGACTTAGCTGGGATATTACCTAGGTAGCTTTTGGCAGCAACAAGCGTAATGGTGGGTCTGCCAAGCATATTTCGCCAGTTCATTGTTAAGAAGGCGAAATGAGTCACTAACTTATCAGCCAAGAGAGCCATGTCGTAACTCGTGTAATACTCCTCCATATCAACATTCTAACAACCCCGGACGTAACATGCAACACACCACCACATACCATCTTAGCAAACAAGCAACACACAATAAAAATAAAATCAACTGATTCAAAAAAAAGAGAAGTCACGGACACAGTTAGTTTGAGACCCTTCAATTTCTACCAATCCCTAAGTCAAACAATACCTAAATGCACCCTCCTACAGGCTATTGTAACAAGTGGTCGGCCCAACATATTCTGCCAACTCGACTTCAAGAAATTTATCTCGCTCTTGCAAATATCTATCATCAGTTCATAGTCGCTCGCAATGTAATTGTGAGACATGTCCGTAAACTAATCAGTTTAAAATAAGACTAAAGCGTACAAAACATTTAACAAGTCACCTGTGGCGTGAAGGCGAAGATTTTGTCGCCGAGGGAGTAGAGCTTGCTGGTGCTGAGGATACCGACGTCGCGGGATTTGCGACCAGAGAGACCCAGCTTCTTATTCCTGCCTAAGAAAAACAAAGACAGTTATTGGCACGATCAGCAAGCAGCCTCGGCATTCGTCTCGGCGTACCTAGATATGTGTATAAATGTGACAATACTCGAGCGGGTTGAACCTCGATTGGCGCTACTTCAGTGATAGTTTGAACCAGGATGTCATGTTCGGCTAATTTGTCTCTAATTTCGTTGTCTTCGGCTAAAATCACGACTTGGACCACCACATCGGGCTTTTTTTCGGAGCACAGCCTACGATTGAGGGGGTCTAGTTCGCCAGGGGCCAGAAAACCCTAAATAAAATAAATCTGAACAAACGCCTCTAAATCGTCAGACATATTTAAAAATAGTTGCCATATGCAAGGTGATTATAAAAGATCGTATATCAAGGTGGCTTTGAAATTTCGTGAATTTTGCCGCTTCGTTGTGATGGTGATTACTCGTATAACCTAACCCCAAAATAAATTTGTCGCCGGTTTCGTGATCTACGCAAATTCTGTAAGTAGTTATTATTGATGCAGATATTTATTTATTTATAACAGTTGATTTCAAGGTCTTGCCTATCCCTATCACAAAATTAACAATTTTTGTATTTATAGAAATTTGCATCACACCTATTTGAAAATTACCTCTTGTAATAACTTTCCTACAATATACAAGGACTGCGCCCATAAAAATGGGCACTGTCCCAGCGCTTTCCTTTGTTGGGTTCCCGGTTCTTTGTACTCAGCTGCCACAGACTCTGCAGGTACTGCATACAACTCAGGAACTAATCTCAGCCCATCTTCAGTCCTAACCATTATCTGCAATCACAACATTAATTTCATCCCAAAATTAAACAAAAAAAAGTACATCCTCCAGTTGACGCGTATATTCTGCAGCCCCTGATTTATTACCTCTAAAACAGTGATCTAAAATTAAATTACAGAAAAACAAAGGCCATTCGCATTCGATGTTTTGGAACATTCTGAGCTCCCAAGGCTCATAATACAGTCTTCTAGGATCCTACAAAATTAATTTTTGATACACCTCAAGACTTGAATATAAATTTACTTCTTTTGGGGTTTTATAACCATCCCTGAGGAATCGCTTACAGCCATAGCGACCTTGTAATTTCTCTATAATCTGATCCCTGGTATATTGGAGAAGGCCAGGGTCATCTACAGCAAAAGCTGGAAAACTTATCACTGCCAATAAGCCACTGTCAATTTCCTTGGAGCTGGATTCTCTTGGAAGCATTGACTGGAAATTTACATAACAATAAAACTACAACAAAAAGGGAAAGAAATACTTGTAAGACAGCCTGGCATTTTTGGGCTTCATCTGCCAACACATGTATAATACTATAAGGGCCCCCTCTGGCCCCAAACAAGTCCAACTCATTCATGGCTTCCAAAGCAGCCTTTGCCATTCCTATGGAACTAGCATTTAACTCAGGTAACCCGTGATTGGTTTTATCCCCCCTTTCCCAAATACCATAATCTGGAGTGCAATAAGCACACTCAATATAAAACACCAAATTCTGTATAAACGCAACCTCATCTAAATTAAAAACTATCTGCAACCCGGATGCAGTCATTTGTGCTAATATTAACAAGTACAGTGATATAGCATCAATTTGTAGGTGGCCCCATTCATTGTCCCCAACCACGATCTGTCCGGTAGTTGAGGCGTACTTGGCATGCAACGAATCCAAAGGATTTTGTGTTTGTTTAAATCGTTCAACTTTGTCTTTTTGTTGCATCATGGCCATTAAAAGACCCCTCATTAGTTTGACACAGGACTGCTCCAGTTCGTACGTTTTGGCTCTATCTTCGTCTTGATCAGCCATTTTCTTGTAGGACATTGAGAGCCCCCATACCGCTAGTATGCAGTACACATTATCGCGGATCCACGCGTGGCTGTTTTGACTGCTAGCTGGGAACAATCCTGTGACTGGGTGTTGGTTGGACATGATGATTCGATGGACTACGCGCTGGTAGTAGTCGAGGCGCACCCCCGAATTGCTTCGGCTCCGCATTTTGATACGAAAAAACAAAATCACAGAACTACACACATACTAAAAATGGTTAAAAAAAACACAAAGACATTTCAATGTCATTGGAAATGTCAGTTATTTTTGTAAACAGTCGTAGAGGTTATGTGGACACCGACGTCGAACTGCCAATAGAAATAGTAATTTTGATCACGCGACAAAGATTTTCGTTGCTATTGGTGCAATCGCAACTGGTGCTATTTGCTGTCAAAATTAAAATGCAGCAGGTTGGCAATTCTGCGTTTTTCTGTTATTGTTTAATTCGAAAATGAATCAACTTTTTCTATTTGTTGTCTCACTTTGAATCATTGTATCCTTTACATTATTGGACGTTATATAAGTTTTAAAAACAATGAGTGGTAGAGGCGCCACACCACCGAATAAGGACCCATCAAGAAAACCCCAAAGTTCGTCAAAGTTTCGAACACCACCAAATTTAAACTCGACCCATTTAGATGCGTCAGTAAGGGGTTCTAAAACTCGAAGCAATTCAAAATTCATTAGGGGTACGTCTTGCTCACACTTGGATGTAACTGGAATTGGTGGCGCTTCTCGTGTACCTGCAGTTAAAGCAAACTTGACACCACAGGTGGATTATGAGCTTGAATGTGATTTGGCGGACTGCGATTATTTACAAGCTTTGATGAAGAAAGCGATTGCAGCTGAAGGAGTGGAGAAGCACGAAGAAGAAATTAATGATCAACTGGCAATTCAGAGGGATAATTTGTTTAAAAGCAGGTTGAAGTGTAAGGAAGCTACAGAAGAGTTGACACGACTGGAACAACTAGAAGAGGTGAATAAGCTTGTTGAGACTATGAAAAACAACTTTGATCGGTTTCATGCACTGAAGGGAAATATTGATTTGGAAGAGACGTTGGAGCAAGTGCTGTGTTTGTTTCAAGCGTTTTGTAGCAGATTGACTGTGAAGAATGTTAAACCACTTCAGACTGAAGAAGACTTTAGGAAGCTGGAAGTAGTTTTAAAGGAATGCTTAACAGCGTTTCAGAGACTGAATTTACAAGATAGAAATCCAAAACAAGTGAATCATTTAGCTGAGGTTATGAGGAAGTATCAAGAACAAGTACGGCAAGCCGCTGAAAAACAAAAATTTATGAATAGTGCCCAAGAAAACGAGGTGTTTAAGTTATTTAAATCATTATCACAGAAGTATGTAAAACGGGAGCAGTATAAGATAGCTTGCGATGAAATATCTTAGGTGTTTATACTGGGAATTAATTGTACAGATTTGTAAAAAATATTTTTGTAAAACTTATAAAGTTTCTGTTTAATTCGTGTTCCCAAGTGGCGGCACTGTAGCCACATCTGCTGCATAATTGCGTTACCTTGACCACCACAATATGGCGTGATCCAATTGACACGAGAAGTTTTGATACATCATCCGTTGCTAATTGCCAATTGTGGATGGTCCTGATTTTGTGTGAATTATTAAGGCGCAAAACTTTTCAAATAAGCTAACGTTGAATTCAAGTTTTAGTTCGTTTTAAGTGAATATTTGTGATTATTGGACATTTTCTGTGATTGTATTTAATGTGTGGTTAAGCTTTTAAGCATGATGAAGTTGTATAAAGAAAGACTGCTGTCGGATGCCCAGTTAAAACGTTTAGGTGAACATCAGTATTCATGTCAAAGTGTTAGTATAATGGACAAATTATTGCAACCCTATTGGAATTGGTTAACGTCAAAAGTGCCCATTTGGTTAGCACCTAACCTCATCACCATTTTGGGGCTCGTTGTAAATATTGTCACCGCTTTAATTCTAATATGGTAAGTCCGGTGGTCATTTACATTATTACGTTCCCGCGTTTTTTCTTTAATTGTTAAAGTTCGAATATTAGTGTTTATGACTCCTTTAAGTACGTAATAAAAGTATGTCTAATTTAAAATTTGTAACATATAATTATTTATTTATTCTATGTATGTTTAGGATTATGGCGACGGAATGATTTGTTTTTAATGTATTTTATTGTGGCGTCGAAATTAATGCGGCATTGTTCAGGACTATCAGATTTGCATCTTTTTTTCCATATCAATGACCGTCATTCTACTTTATGCGTGTGTTTAAACGGTAATTTGCAGAGTCATGGGAGCCCCCATAGATCAGGAAGGTCACAGTGGTTAGTTAAGTCCTGATTTGTATTAATCATGAACTTTCTGCTACCAACGTTCAACCTCACTGGGTTTTAAAACGACACAAAAAACCACTGTTAAATTACGAATTATAAGGAAACAGTTTCCTTTGATCAACATGCATGTGCAACTTTAATAAAGTGAATTGTTCCCAATTTGCAATATTCAATTTCTAAAATGAAAGAGAACTTTCTCAGCGGCTCCGTTAATTTTTATTTTAGTTAAAGCGCTTTCATATCTGGAGGACATATTTCCATATTTATTCCATTTGAAAGCGTTTCATACCTTTGATTTTTGTAATTTATGAATTTAAGAACGTAGTTGGAAGAACGTGTTTACGGTTTAATTAGAACAGTCAACGTAATGGCGTTAATTAACTGCAGGTGCGAATGTAACGGTTGCACTATAAACATTCAAGCTGTTATTTATAAAAAGTGATTATTAAATTGTGGCTAACTTGATCCTCGTGGTTCTGTTTTCGCATTACTGGTTGCAAGTAGTCGTTAAAAAATTGTTATCTGTAGTAGTAATTATAAAGATAAAAGATACAACTTTCGTATTATGTAATGCCAACTATAACACGAAAACAAATATTTGTTTGTTGGAATAAACTAGAAAAGTGCAACGGTAGAACAGGTTTTCTAACCCTATTAACTGTTCTTTTCATCGCTAGAGGCAAAAGTTGTTTTCTATCCCGTCGTTCTTGGCAACAGCAAAATATACAAAAATAAACTACGCCCCCGTTTTACTTAGATTAGAAATTATTGTTCGCTCTCTCGCTTTCGCTCAGGAAACAGGCGATGCACTTTACAATTTTATACAGTCTTATATTTTTCCGTATGTTGCATAAACTGTGCCAAAATTAGTCAATAAAAACGTGTTTGCTGCTTAAAAACTGGCGTCGAACAATGGAACTAATCAGTTTTTATTTTGCTACTTAAACGTATCGTATTACTTTATCTTCACTTTTGGACCGTTTTATGTTTATTTGACGCAAGATCTGATAAGAGGTCGCTTAGAATGATGCCGTAATTTAATTTTTTATCTGCAGACGAAATTAAATTGGCTCTAATAATTGCGCTCAAGTGACTCGGTCATCTCTGTTATCACTATTCGATGGAGTTGAAATGGTTTTTGTGGCGTACGAAACGTGGTATAATTAAGAAATCAATTACGACAGAAATTCTAAAAGAGAAAAGAGGAACTTTAAGTAACGGACGATTTTTCGGTTGACGTAAGACAGAATTTAATGAAAATTTATTTGGCGAACAAAAGATAAATCAGGTGTGCGTATATTTTTAGGCTTAGTACTTTAATTTTTATCAGTTTTCAGTTTGTGGGTCAAGATGATTTGTAAACAATAGATTATCAGTGAAATCTCTCGCTACTAAGATTATTTATCCCTTTCTATCTTTTGTTTTTTTTATATATTTACATAGTCATTAGAGACGAGGGAAGTTCTGTCTACATGACTTGAAGTGTTAGTTGAAAATTTAATACAACATAAACGTACTTTCATTTATTAAAATAATTTTGTTTCCAGATAACGTTAATGTTTGGTCTAGACGAATCGCACTGTGTTTTTAAACGAATTCACACTTAAATTGCGAGTGTGAAGGCAGGAAAGTGATCAATAATTTCATTTAGACTAAACGTTTCCGTATGAGGTAATATAATTCAACTACATTAGCCGATTACAAAATTACAGTTAACACTAATAACGTTATTCAATTATAGGTGTGTTATCGTGGGTAATTTATGTTGTCTGTCTGTATATCGTGTTGTGTCTTCAACATGGGTGTAGTTAAAAAAAAGCGATATTGATAATCCTATCCGTATCCCATTAAACAAACATAAAAGAAAAAAACAACCAAGATTATTTCAAGTTGTACGACGTGTGTAGATAACACACAATACATGGAAACTTGATAATTTTATTATAGGGGACGATGTGACAGTTCCAGTGGTGGATAATTAATCATTTGTGACGATAAACGCTATAAATGCAGTTGTAGAATTTTATCGCAATAAAAGCGTTTATCTTATGCTTACCTTTTTGTATTTAATTCATTGCATGAGTGAGTTCCTTTTATTTCCTCATTGCACTTTTGTGGAAAAGAAAACACCAACACTTTTAAATATTTGTCGTCAGTGGTAGTTAAGCTTTATTGCCAGTGAAGTAATGATTTTAAACAAATATTTATAAACATTTGTATTTGTCTCCTTGGACATTTTTTTGGTAAATACACATATCACTCGCGCAGTACAGACTATATAAAATTTAACTTTTGCAGATAACATGTGGTCGTGTTTCTCATTAAAATATATTAAACTTAAAGCTTTAAGTACGCCGGAAATACGAACTGCTGTAAAAAATAATCAAAAAGTATTTTAAAATTTATTTTATAGGTATTCACCAGACGCAAAACAGGACGCTCCGCGGTGGGCGTGTGGGTTGTGCGCTCTGGGCCTTTTTGTCTACCAAAGTCTAGACGCGATAGACGGTAAGCAGGCCAGGAGAACCGGGACGGCCAATCCCCTAGGTGAATTGTTCGACCACGGCTGCGACTCGATATCCACCGTCTTCGTGGCCTTATCGGCGACCATAGCCATCCAGCTGGGCTACTATCCAGGATGGATGTTTTTCCAGGTTGGTACAGAAGCCCAGCTCACCCAGAGAAACAACTTGCTTTTGTAGTGCTTTTGTGCTATGACACTTTTTTATTGTGCCCATTGGCAAACCTACGTGTCCGGGACGTTGCGCTTCGGGAGAATCGACGTCACGGAAGCCCAGTACACCATCATGGGTATTCTCCTGGTGTCCACCGTCTGCGGGCCTAGGATATGGTCGACAAAGGTAAGGGTCTGAATGTTCGCGTACTAGTACAGGTTCCGGCACTTTAATTTGTTTCATTGGACGATTGCGAATTTTAGATGTCGGTGTCTGTAGACTATCACATTTTAAAAATATTTTCAGAACGTTTGAGGACGTATAGGTGTCGTGTTTTTTAAAATGTGTTTTCAGAATTTGATCATGGATTAATTTTAAGTGTTTTTGCTCATTTTTTGTGTAGTTTTTTAGCGGTACTGTGTATTTGTGGTATTTAATACCATTAAGCACTATAGTGTGCGGCCTGTGGTCGCTTTACCAAAGTATTATTGTGATATGCACTGGAGGTGTCGGCAAGAACGGATCGACTGTCGCTGTAAGTTTTCAGACACACTTCTGCAGTAGCATGGACAAATAAAATGCCTGCAAGCCTACAGAGCGTTCAATTTTTAAACTAACATTTTCGTTTGTTTCGACTTATTATTTTAGGACCAGTTCAGTCAGGGTGCATGGGGATGTTAGTTTTGTTACGTTTTGTAAAGAACAACACATTACTATACGTTGTTCTTGACAGATTTGTTTGAGCGGCTTTTAGCAGCGATTGGTATTCATTAAAAAATATCAGACGTTTTGTTAGTTCGTTTGTTCCACTACTAAATATCAGTGAGATGTAGGTAAATACTGCAGTAAACATCCAACTTTGTGTTAACAGCACTCTGGGAAGATTCCGGGAGCGTTACGAAGGCAAATTGTATTTTCACCAAATGGACAAAGAGCAAAACTGGATTTCTAAATTAATTATATGCTTTCTCATTATTTTTTGTAAATGCCAATAATCGTACATAATATATTTTTTGTTTGGTTATACTGCCAACTGATGGCGTTTGTTACAGCCTACTCCAACTCAAATAGTTTTCGACCTTGCCTTGATGTTGATTTAATGGTTAACGTTTATATTACTAGAGTAATACGAAGGAATTCTAATTTTATCAATTGCACTGTTGACAATAATTTAATAACACAAAGGCCCGGTATTTTATTTGTCGGTTAAGGCAAGAAATTATGTTTAACGAAAAAAATTGGTCGAAGGTTATTCCTCAGAACTTCAGAATTATAAAAAAAATTAGCAATTTTTGTTGTCTGATGGATGACCTTTTAACATCTAGGGGAACTCTTATAACTGAGGAAAACCTAGAAAAAGTAGCAATTCTTATTAGAAATTCCCGAAGTTGTAAAAACCAGTGCTGTAAATAACATTTTTTTGTTTCTTTAATTTTTTGAGTTTTTGAACACCAGGTCAAGTAAATTTTTTTTAGAAACTACAGTTTTGCCGACCGTATTTTTTTAACGATTGATGTGTGTACACTTTGCCTTCCTAGTGGAAGTTCAGTTTACCTCATGGCACTGTTTCTGTTTTGTGCTTACATAATCGATTTGTTTTGATCATCGGTCGACTAACAGGTGGAGGATTCGAATCATCTTTTGAGTAAGTGATTCCTTACTCAGGTTGGTTGGAGCAATTCCGGGCGATCCTTACCGTCGTGTAATATTTACACGAACTTTTCTAGGTGTTCGGCTATTCTTTCGATTGGTGTCACGTGATGGCTACCGTGTTTTCCCTGGGATATCTCAACTTGTTTTACACCTTAGTCGAACGCATCAAAATGGGCGGATGCGGCAAGAACGGATCGACGGTCGCTGTAAGATTTCTAACTGGTTGTGGGCTAAATGGTTCCTGCGGATAAAACCTGTACATACACTGGGCTCTGGTGCAAGCTTGATTGATCTTGTTTTATGAATTGTACATAGGCGTGCTTGCAGCACGACCAACGCGTCTTCGTGTCGAGGACGCCTTGGTCGTCGGTTGCTTTAAAGTTTATAAAGACTGCTGCTGTGTGTGTCATTGTCACTAAATTTGTCATTCGTGGTCAAGATACCCGGCTTGGAAATGGAGGTGAAATGGATCCCCATGGGCATGGGGTGGGCAGTCGCTCTTCTGCTCGTCCAAGCTAACGTTTCTATTATTTTCACGGGAGGAGTGGGCAAAAATGGATCAACGGTCGCTGTAAGATTGCTCCAATGTCAACCTGTTGTAAATAGTAGAGATTGCACGTTTGATGAAAGTTGATTTGACCCAAATCACCATAACCCGTCAACTTTCGTCCGACATTATGCATGCAAGTCCGAGCTTCCTTACGCTGTTGCTTCTAATCCCGCTTGGAGGTGTTTAACAGACCGAAAAAATCGTCAACTAGATGGCGCAGTTTCATTACTTAAGCTGGTCATGCGCACTACTAACTTGACGATTTTAGCGGTTGTGGCGACCGTAAGGTTGTGTTAACAATGGCTACATCCGTTTGTGGGTTGTAACAGGGAACAAGTGTCTTATCGCCGATTATACCGTTCTCAATGGTGCTCGTGCCTGCGTTTATAATTTATCAAAAGTCGACGGAACACGTCTACGAAGAGCACCCGACGTTGTATATTTTGGCCTTTGGGTTAGTAGCTGCTAAAGTGACTAATCGTCTTGTGGTAACTTAAACCCTCGGTTTATATGTTTAAAATTAAGAATGCACTTCTAGGTTGCTCATATGACGAAAAGTGAAATGGATTATATGGATTGGTCGCTTTTAGGACCGACGATGCTCTTCTTGAACCAGTACTTTAATACTTTCGTAAAAGAGTACTATATTTTGTGGTTGTGTTTGGTAAGTGGAGCGAGAAGATTGTCAGGTGGGTTAACCACGTTTTTCAGATATGGGTGGTGATAGATTTGCTGCGATATTGTTACCAGATTTGTATGGAAATTTGTGATTACCTTCGTGTGGAGTTGTTTAGAATACCGTATCCAGGAGGCCCGCAGCGGGCCGCCCCTCCATTGCTCCATCTTCCTACAGAGAAAAACGGTACGAACATTAAGTCAGTAAAATCACGTAAAAGTAAACATTATTAAATCTAACACCAATGTAAACTCTCTTCTTCACTTCAACCAAGATATTTTTTTTTAAATCGTTAGTGCCAAACATGGACAAGGTGTTTTACTTAGGATATTCCAATTGTGATGATTGTGTTAGTTGAAAATTGATAATTTTATTGTTTGTTGGCCACACGTTTTTGTTGTATATAATTGATGTTTTTTAGTTAAATTCTCTCACACATCAATGACAGTTACACATCACTACTAATCATTCGAATAATTGTACGGCTTTTGTAAATAAAATCTGGTATCGGTCTGGTCGTTCTAGCGTCAATAAATCCGAATCTCTCGTTTCTGTCCACCGAGAGTATCATGTGTCCTGTCAATATATAATTTTGTTTTAACAATGTATTGTCATGATGGATATTTGAATGTTTAGCAAGAAACACGCACATCGGATTTGTTATTACACTGATGTAAACTTTGACATAAAATATTATTAATTTATTTTGCTCTATTATTTTTGATCCTTTCCTTCACTTGTAACATTTCCCACACGTTGTTAACTCGGTTGAGGCCTGCTAGTGCTTGTGCTTAACTCACACACGTGTCATTAGTGCTTGTGAATCGGCACCTTTTTATTTTCAGTGGGATAATAAGCATCTGGATACTTGCAATTGATTGGTGTAAGGGTGAATGTGCTTGTCATGACCAGTTACTAACACGCTAGAACGGATACCACGAGTTGTATTTATTTTGTTAGTCACAATTTTTTTTAGGTAAATCTGAAAAGAAAATGCACTGTTCAGATGGAGAAGACGTTGTGCCTTTGTTACAGTCTGACGAAAACTTATAAACATTTGGACTATTGCCGCAAGTGTGCCTTGTTCGCTCTCGTTGACCAGCAAAAGAACATATTTTCTGAAGTATTTTTGGAGTATTGTCATTTTTTAATTTATTTTAATTCTATTTTCATGTCACTACTTAACAAACTAGTTACTGTGAATTGTATACATGTTCCTTGCGAAAAGAACAATATTAAATTTTTTTGCTTAATCTTCATTTTTTACTAACCCGATGGCACACGAAGCTTGACTCTGGTCATGCATTTTTATACATTGGAGCAAATCACGCCATGCATGAAATGCACTTTGGTAAGTACTGCATGACGTACAGCGTTAAATCGACGAATTCGAGGACCAATCAAATCGATCATCTATAACGAGCTTAAGTCGCTACTGCACGGAGTCGCCACATTATGCAGACTTTACAGTGTTTGCATGTCGCATATCAGTGTTCATTTCCATATCGCTCAGGACATAAACATTGCGATAGTGTTCAGTGAGCACTAAAGTGTATCACTACTAACTTGTGTTGTGATAGGACACGCTGACGTTTCAAGCAAAATGAAGTTCTATCACGGAAAGATACTTTCCCGGTCCCAATTAAAATGTTTAGCTGAACATAAATATTCGTGTGAAGGTGTTGGTGTGTTGGACCCAGTTTTACAACCCTTCTGGAATTGGCTAACCCTGAAAATGCCCATGTGGTTGGCGCCCAATCTGATCACTGTTCTGGGATTAGCTATAAATATCGTCACCGCTTTAATACTCGTCATGTAAGTTTCTTGATAAATGTTGTAATTATGTATTTGATAGTGTCACACTTTATACATTCATTTAGTTGTATCAGTAATGTAAACGTTAACCTCAATTATTACGTAGTGTAGTTAGATAGAGAACCACCGAATTTTAAAAAACAAGATGGCGGAATGTATTCACAGCAACAAATCTCTAGGTACTCACCAGACGCAAAACAAGAACCCCCTCGGTGGGCCCACTTTTTGTGTTTTCTGGGACAGTTCATCTACCAAAGTTTCGACGCAGTCGACGGAAAACAGGCTAGAAGGACCGGAACGGCCAACTCTCTTGGGGAATTGTTTGATCACGGCTGCGACTCGGTGTCCATGGTTTTCGTTTCATTGTCGCTACTGGTCGCAGTCCAGTTGGGGTACTACCCCCAATTAATGCTTTTTCAGGTTGGTGTTCGCCGCAAAAATTCAAAAAACTAATTTACCTCGTAGTGCTTTGTCGCCTTGGTGTGTTTTTACTGCGTACACTGGCAAATTTACGTTTCGGGGGTATACCGTTTCGGAAAGATCGACGTTACAGAGGCTCAGTGCGCTGTAATGTTTAGCCATCTAGTTACTGGTGTCTTTGGTCCCAGCATATGGTGGACGAAGGTAAGTAACGGGACCTTCGTATTTTCTGTATGGTTTGTGTTGTATCAGGTACCTGGGACGGAACTTGAGTTGGTGTGGCTTGCCGTGGTTGTAGCAAGTGTGGTTTCTTTTATCCTGGTACTACCAAATCTACGCAATATTCTGACGAAAGGAGTGGGCAAAAATGGATCAACAGTTGCTGTAAGAGAACGTCTTGGCAGGTAGCATTAAGTGTGTGTGTCGAAACAACGCACCAAAAACGTGGTGACGTCATCTCAAAAATTATTAAATAAATCTTAAATAAAATTTGTTAGATATTTCTTTTTAACAGGGAACAAGTGTCCTATCACCGTTCATACCACTTTCGATCGTACTTCTCTCCACGTACGTTATTGCTCAAATGTCCACGGAACACATATACGAAGAACATCCAATGTTGTATATTTTAACTTTTGGACTAATAACTTCCAAAGCGACTAACCGCATTGTGGTATTTGCCAGATTTGTGCCTTTTTCTCGATTAAACGCACTTTTGTAGGTTGCTCACATGACAAGAAGTAAACTGGATTACGTAGATTGGTCGCTTCTAGGGCCCGCGATGCTCTTTTTGAATCAATACTTTAATAACTTTTTAAAGGAACACTATGTTTTGTGGCTGTGCCTGGTAAGATGATTTTGAAAACTAAAAATGACATCACAATAGTCATTTTTAGTTATGGGTAGTGATAGATTTCCTGGCTTACTCTCATCAGATTTGTATGGAAATCTGTGATCATATCCAAGTGGATTTGTTTAGAATACCGTATTCTAAAGAGTTACGAAAAAACTCGCACTCAGACATCCGTTTTCATAAAAATAAAGACAATTCACACATTCATTAGTTAAAATTATGTAAATATGCCTTTTTTGCAATAAAATATATGGACTTAATTCGCCTCGCTATCGTTCGGAGTTAATCGTCCACACTCCGTCACATAAAGTTTGACATTATGGAAATTTATTCTATATTTTGAATCCCCGAAACCAGCACATCACAGAACACAAAGAATCGAAAAAGCTGCAAATGGGAAAAATAAAATTAATAATAATAAGTCGACTTTATGCTGACGTTATTATCCTCACATACCAATCCTCAAATATAAACCGCGAAGTTGGCTTCCATCGATATACAAACCATACAAACTGTAGATATGTCAGTAATATAATAATTTACGGTTCTTATCAATACGCATGCGCCAGTATTACCGAATTATGCATTCAAATTGTAAAAAACATTCGTTTTTCGACCATTGCCTTATTAACAGTGTTTCCCTTATCGTAAACGTCGCATTTACAACTATCCCGCACGTGGTGCACACTAACGTACCTTCGCTTCAGTACTCGCAACGATGAAACTGTGTAAAATACGGCTACTATCTAACAACCAATTAAAAAATTTACGCGACCATCAATATTCATGCCAAGGTACTACTATTCTGGAAAGACTTTTCTTGTTGTCCTATTGGGACTGGTTAACGTTGAAAGTGCCCATTTGGATCGCACCGAATCTCATCACAGTTGTGGGACTCATCGTCAATGTTGTGACTACTTTGATTCTTGTATGGTAAGTACTTTTTGTAAAAACAGTTGTCCAGTTAATTTTTTTGCGATATATTTACTTGAGTGCGCTTGTATGTCTAAAAAATTGAAATCCTTGATTCTGATTGGTGACGATAATGACCGCCACATTAATCGAAACAGTAGAGATAATTTCAATGTCGCTTTAATGATTTTTTTTTGTATGAAATACGTGTTAAGTGCGTTTAATTTTAGGTATTCGCCGGACGCAAAGCAAGAAGCTCCCAAATGGGCGTGCGGATTTTGCGCTGTGGGCATTTTCATCTACCAAACTTTGGATGGAATAGATGGAAAACAGGCTAGAAGAACTGGTACAGCCAATCCTTTGGGCGAACTGTTTGACCATGGTTGCGATGCTATATCTATAGTACTTCTGGCTGTCGCACTATGTATTGGCTTCCAAGCTGGCGACATCCCAGAAGTAATGCTCATTTCGGTTGGTAAAATAACAGCTGCTCTAAGGACTGATCGAAATAAGTTCAATTTTAGTGTTTTCTTGGTATGACGCTTTTTTATTTGGCCCATTGGCAAAAGTACGTTTCGGGAACCTTACACTTTGGACATATCGACGTCATAGAGGCCGAGTTTGCCACTTCATGCATTCTTTTAGTGTCTTCTGTTTTTGGACCTAGTGTTTGGTCAACGAAGGTGAGATTTCAACACCTCATGCTATATCTGTAATCAAATTTGGAAGTCTAACTTGTGGAGTCACTTATTTTCTTATTGCAGATCTTTGGACTACAAATGGAGATGAAGTGCATAATTTTAATCATAGCTGGAATTAATGCTTTTTTTATTATTGTAACAAGCTTGTCCGTTATCTTCAGAGCGACAGTGAAAAACGAATCGACAGTTGCTGTAAGATTGAATCGTATTTTCTGTTTGATATAAATAACTTAATATTATTTCAATACAACTAAGGAAAATGTGTACTCGTGCGTGGAGTGATAAATCTTGAAAATTTTTTTTCTGCTTAATTGTCTTCTTTTTTGAACATTCTCAATCAAAAATTTACCGCTTCACGTACGGTCAGTCGGTATGAAAATTCGTAAGATACTTGGTTTTATTTTAACATTTTAAAAAGGGTTTTTACAGTGATCAATTTTTTGTAAGGTTATATGGCAGCAGTTTAATTTTTTACTATTCATTTAGAGTGGTTTCGGTACCCCAGTAAATCACTTGCAATTGTTCAGATTTAGAAGGTCAACAGAACCGGCTTCAGATTTTGTGATAAAATTTTAGTGGTAGCAAATGGAAATAGAGTATTAAAATTACAAGAGAAAAACAAGCGAAATTAAATTATGCCACCCTCTACCAACAATTTTAAAGAACAAAGAATTTACATGAAGTTGAATTATGCCTTGTCCAAGTTACTGGTTACTTAAAACAATTAGCTTTGAGAGTTTATTTCGTGGACTGTCCCCAGCTTATCCTAAATAAACACATGATAAATAAACAAAATGCATCCCCTTAGGGAACTACCAACTACCAGAAAAGAACTAAACTTGCACGTGGTTGCTTATGTTTAACGATTTTCTTAATGAACATTTTTTCACACAGGAAAAGCTAAAAATCGGAAAAACATTAATAATTAATTACGCTCGTTGGTGGGAGAACTGTGGCGTCGGTACAATTCAGGTTCATTTAAACAATTTTTTAGCGCGAAATTTTAGTTCAAACTGGGACACCACAGTTTATTTAAATGTTAATTAATTAATTTTATAATGAATATTTTCTATAGAGTTTATATCCATTAGGGAACGAATGCGTTATCGCCTGCCATACCACTTTTAATCATCGTTGTGTTCACGTTCATTATTTGGCAACAGTCAGCAGAGCATATCTATGAAGAACATCCGTGTTTGTTTATTTTAACATTTGGATTAGCAACGTCCAAAGTGTGTAACAGTCTTATGGTAAGTCTTCATTTGATGGATTTTTGAAGCTAATATTGTGTTTATAGGTTGCTCAAATGACGAAAAGTGGAATTAATTACATCAATTCATCACATTTAGGAGCTTTTATTTTTTTCTTGAATCAGTGTTTTGGTCCTTTTGTAAAGGAGTACTACCTTCTGTGGTTCTGCTTAGTAAGTTAATATCCACGAAGCTCTAGACTGCTAACAGACATTTTTAGGTTTTGGTACTAATCGATTTGCTGCTCTACTGTTATCAGATTTGTGCAGAAATCAGTGATTATCTTGGGGTGAAAGTCTTTAAAATACCCTATTTAGAGCAACCATGAGCATCTTAGGTATTTAAATACGTCATTCACTTTGTGTCAAATAATAAAATAAGTATAATAATTTGATTCTCTTAGACATAAATATATTTTTAGATATCAAGTTATCATTATTTTTCAAAATTCGACGATTTTAACGCCCCAAAAAAAAACCATTTGTACGTGGTACGCCTAAAATTTATTGAGGTTTGTTGCAATACACGTATTACAATAATAAATACCACAACACTCACAAAACTTTCATACAATACAAAAATTTCCTAAAATAACGCAAGTAAAAAACTTAAAAGAACAGTAATTCTCATTTCTTCTTCTTTTTCTTCTCCACAGCCCCGCCAGTACTGTCATTTTTGCGCTTTTGCCCGCTCTTCGAAGAGACCTGCGTCGAGTTCCCGGTGACCGTGTTCGATTTGGACACCTTCTTCTTCCGCTCGTTCCTCTCCCGCTCCTCCAACTCGGCGTTCTCCCTCTCGATCAGCGTGATCAGAGTGTTACAGCGCCTCTGCAACTCCATGGCGGTGCGGGATTTCAAGAACCAATCGAAGCGGAACTGCGGAGACGCCCTCACAGCCGCCCGCAACTCCTCGTAGACGTTCTCCCTGTCGAAGCCCAACCTGTGCAGCATGCATACCAAAAACCGGTCTTCGTCTTCCATGTAGTTCTTGCCTTTGTTAGTACCGTAGGCGATTCTGAGTTGGTGGAAGGGCGCCCGATAGCGGGCCATTTTGGCATCCAGAGCCCTTTTAATACTGGCACGGCGCTGGATTTTGGTCTCGCCTCTTTCGATCTGCGCCATGATTCTGTCGATGTCTTGGAGTTCGTGGCACCTTTCCCAAAACACGGCGGAGTACTCCATCACTTCTTCGGGAGTTTTCCCTTCGACTTCCTTCGCGATGTTTTCGATGTCGTCGCGTCCATACTTTTCGTTCGCTTTGATGAACTGGTTGAAGTCGCGTTTGCTCCAGTTGGTGAACCCCTGGGTCAACAATTGTTCCTTTTCCGTTTGCTCCTCTTCCGTCAACGTTTCCGACTCGTCGATTTTTCTTTGTTCTTCGCGCTGCTGCTTGGTGGCTTCCGGCCCCAATTCCAAGTTCTTGGGGACTTTGTAACCCAGAGTTTTCCGGTAGAAGTAAATTTCTTGGTCTAGGAGTTCGAATAATCTGGGTGGGAAAAATTGGAAATCTTGTACGATTGGTTGTTTCGGGGGGCGCGGGGCTTTCGGAGCTTTGGGTTCGGAAACGCGGAGAGCTTCACGGAAGTAGGCGTCGACTGCGTAATTGGCTTTTCGTTCACGTTTCGGGGGCTCGATCCAGGTGCACAGACCTACGTTCTTTTGTTTCTCGCGGTAGTCTTCACCCTCGAACTTGTAGACGGATTCGGTGGGGGTGTCGACGGTGAAGTTTCTTAAGGAGGATTCTCCTAAAGATTCTAGTCTTTGGTTCAGCTCGGCCGTCTGGAATCAAGATTATTGAAGTTGAGCTAGAAGCCCCACTATGCAAATGTGCTTACCTTTGCTTCACCCTTTTGCAGAATGCTATCGATGTCTTCGTCTGTTATTTCCGAGTCTTTTGACGCGAATACATGATTTGCTCCGTATCGAATCATGTTCAACATTTCGTCTTTGTTTAACGACTGGGTTTTATTGTCTACTAAACGACCCTGTTGTATGACCAGTTTGTCTAATCTTAGTTTCACTTCTGCTCGCTCCACGATTTTTTCTTCAACGGTGTTTTCAGTGATGAACCTGTAAGTGAGTTAATTATGGATAGTTATTTTTTACGGATAATTGCACTAGTTTTTGACTGTAATAGTACGAACCTGAAAACCCGGACTTGTTTCTTTTGGCCAATTCGGTGAGCTCTGTCCATAGCTTGCAGATCCATTTGGGGATTCCAGTCCGAATCGTAAATAATGACCACATCAGCGGTAGCTAAATTAATACCCAATCCACCTGCTCGTGTCGACAACATGAAAATGAACTTTATGCTATCCGGCTCATTGTACTCATTAATCTGGCGTTGTCTGTCTTCATGAGGTGTCTGTCCATCTAACCTACAATACTGGTAGCCCCTCCAATGGCAATAGTCCTCCAAAATATCCAACATCCTTGTCATTTGCGAAAATATAAGTACCCTAGAATCTTGTTCCCTCAACTTCGGTAAAAGTTTATCCAAAAGTACCATTTTGCCACAGTTGAACACCAAGTGTTCGTCAGTGGTGTACGGTGGTCCCGGTTCAGCACCATCAAACAAGTACGGATGATTCGAACATTTCCGAAGCTGCATAAGAATGTTCTGTAGCCTCATCTTCTCTACTTTCCCGGCACCGTTCACGATATCTATATCTTTCAACAGAACCTTCGTGTACCACTCCCTCTGCATCTTACTCAAACCCACGTAAACCTTCAGCTCTTTCTTGGGCTTCAGTTTCTTCTCCACTTCCGATTTCAGACGTCTTAACAAAAACGGTTTTAATACTGCGTGTAAACGTTCGATGAGTTGGTTGTCGCCCAAACACTGGTTGGTATTGAACCAAGCGTCGAAGTCGTCGGCGGAATTGAAGACATCGGGCAGCAGGAAGTTGAGGAGGGCCCAGAGTTCGTGGAGGTTGTTTTGGAGGGGGGTACCGGTGAGCAGGAGACGGTTGGTCGTTTTGAATTCGCGCAAAATTTCCGATAGTTTGGACTTTTCGTTTTTGATTCGGTGAGCTTCGTCGATTACCATGTAGCGCCAGTTGAATTTTTTGAAAACCGATTTTTCTTTGATCACCATTTCGTACGAGGTGACGCAGACGTCCCAGTCGCCGGGCATCATCACGTCTCGAATGAAAGCGTTCTATACAAGAAGAAGGCGATTTTTAGGGGGAAATATGTAAAATGTATTTTATATGAAAATTTTGTCGACTCTGATGTGTTCTGGAGTAGAAAAAGTTTATAAACCATTGAAAAAACGGGACTTGTTGAGCTGACGGTATTTGTGGTTTATGAATCCGCCTTAGCCATCCAAATATTTTATAACGTACGAGGAACGCCAAGCAAGGTTCCTTTAACTCAGTTGGTTAGAGCGTCATGTCAATAATGCAAAGATGGCGAGTTTGAACCACGCAAGTGCTACTTTTTTCTAGCATTGTGATTGGATTCCTATTTTTTTTCTCTCTAAAAAATTGGGTTTGTTTTGATTGCATTTCAGGGGCAAGGCTTGATCTAATACTACGACTAATAAGGAATAAATTCAGCTGCTTTATCTCAAAAATGGAGATTTTTCTATAATTTGTCGTTTATTTTAAATTAAAGCAGTTAAACTGACGGCAGATATAGGTGTGACGTCATAGCGATATGACGTCGATTCAGGATGTGAGACGCAGAAATTAACACAAAAATATCGTTTATTGATTGATTGTTACCAACATGAAAACAGGAATAATTCTTCAGATGACAACAGACTCTGACAGATAAAGACTGCTTCGCTAAAAACGACGAGCGACAATGTCTAAAATAGGCTGAAAATAGAACGATTGTACAAACAATAATAACGCTGTAATGCAGCAAAATTGCGGAAAATGGAAAAGTACGCAGTGAAATCAATCATAATTGTTTACATTTGTCCATAACTCTGCTATGTAGCATAAAATCGACATAATTCAAAAGTATACAATGAGTTGAAGGCGTCTGTGTGTAATAGGAGAACACACAAAGCCTTTGTAATTTTTCTGCACATTTCCACAGCAGATGAAAACCTTATCTTTTATTTTTTATCTCTGACGTTATTGGCGCTAAAAATTTAGTCACAGATTTCAAATTCTATCTACATATGTAACTAACCACAGTAAAGATGAATCATTAAATAAATAACAAAAATTAAGCTTACTCTGGCCTCCTGATCACCAATTAGACACACAGCCCTCAGACTAGGACACCACTTCTTGAACTCGTTCATCCAATTAGCCAACGTTGATTTTGGCACAATGACAATATGCGGCGACGGTATATTTTTGTAGTGCTTCATAAATCCTAACAGAGAGATCGTTTGTAGAGTTTTCCCCAGCCCCATCTCGTCGGCCAAAATCCCATTGATCCCATTTTCATACAGCGAAACCATCCAATTCAACCCGCGTATTTGGTAGTCCCTCATTTCGCCGTTCTTTATGTAATACGGCGAACACTCGAACCGAATCGTCGGCTTCGCCTTGGTGTTGCTCTCAGCCAGCAGCTCCTCATCTTCCTCCTGTTCGGTCTTCCTGTGTCGATGGTCTGCCACTGGATCCTCTTTGACTTTCTTCGGGCGGCCGGACTTCGGTTTCGACGGGGTTTTGCTCTGGTTCATAAAATGCGAAAAAATCTCAGTCTGTTTCAGCAAGTACTCAAAACGTCTTCCGCGGTCGGTTTCTAGCTTTGTCTCGAAATCTTCGCCTTTTCCGCGGGATGACAGCGTGTCGGAAGACGAGGCATTCTTAAAAACAGGCGATCATTAGAGGAGATTGTGGAGTCAATGAACCTGTGGTCACCTTTTACCACCTAACGAACGGTTTTGGTGGAACGGTTACTTACCGAATTTTCACCAGTGTCAGCGGTTTCAGCGCCTTCTTCTGCTTTCGACATGTTGATTTCGGGGGTTGAGGGGACACGAAATTTGTGGAATGTTGCTTGAACGTTAAAATTTAGAAATTCGATGTTTAGCTGATAACAAACATTTAGGAGCGGGAAAGATCAGCTAACAACAACGACTGAGCGCGAGGCCGGTTTGACAATCTAATCTAGGGAGAATTACGTCAATGGAAGGCTTTGTTCGCCAAAAAGAGAAATGTCCCTAGTTTGAATTTTTAAATCAGATTCTGCACGGATAAACGCCAAAAATAGCAAAATAATATTACGAACAAAAAATTTAAATGCGACGTCACCACTGATCGGGAAAATATTTGAAATCTGTTGACGTAATATTATTATTATTGCGAAATTTTCGTAGTTGCAACAGTGATGGTTGCAAAATTAGCAACAAATGTAAACAAAAGTTCCGGTATGGTGAAAATGCAATTATTATGTTGGTCACACTGAATTTGCCAAGACAAAAAAAATGACCACGAATTTACCAAAAATAATAATCTTACGTTTATTCGCAACTCTTTAGGTGAATAGCAAGAATATGCAAATTAAAAGTCGCTTTCACTGATTTAATTCACAAACAATTTCCATCTCACTTACAACAGCTGCAGATTTTAAGGTGGCTTCACTGGCTGTCACAAAATTTGTTTAAAAATCCGGAAGTGACATACAAACAAAACCACTTCAAACAAATATTCCCCGTGAAAGAATCTCGAACTTTTGTATTGTATAATTCCCTCCCCATGGTAAATCTGGGAGTGTAAAATATACCTAACCAAGATCCTCCTTTTCAGACCCAGCCTCATACCACCCCTTCGTTTGCTTTCAAAAAGCAACCAATGTCTTCGGCACGCAAGAAGATGACCAGTAAATTCGAACTGACTGAGGAGCAAAAGCACGACATTAAAGAAGCCTTTGATTTGTTTGATACCGACGGGACGGGGAAGATTGATGCTAAAGATTTAAAGGTCGCAATAAGAGCGCTAGGTTTTGAGCCAAAGAAAGAGGAAATTAAGAAGATGATAGCCGACGTAGACGTTAAGGGCACGGGGAAATTGTCCTTTGATGATTTTGTGCAACTGATGACTTTAAAAATGGCTGAGAAAGATTCAAAAGAGGAGATTATGAAAGCGTTTCGGTTGTTTGATGATGATGAAACTGGAAAGATTAGTTTTAAGAATTTGAAACGGGTTGCTAAAGAGCTGGGGGAGAACCTCACTGATGAGGAGTTACAAGAGATGATTGATGAAGCTGATCGAGATGGCGATGGTGAAATAAATCAGGAGGAATTTTTAAGAATTATGAAGAAAACTAGTTTATATTGAGTGGTTTACACATTCCATTTATGGGTTTTTGTCTCACTTTTGAGCACTGCTTGTGTGTGATTTGTTGTTGAAAGAATATGTAAGTGTTGCACAATCAATTTATTTTAATGCAAACAACATATAAAAATATAAAAATTTGTATATATTTTTAATCGAGTAATGGCATTCCTTTTAAATACAAATTAAGCCAGAGCGAGTTGTTCTTTGATTGATCCATCAGCTAACCCAAAGTAGGCTTTCTTTGCCATTTTAACAAACAAACCAGTTTCCACAACCCCTGGAATAACATTCAACTTTGTGTTTATCTCCTCCCAGTTATAATCTTGGAAGTTCTTCCAGTCAAGGATAAAATTCCCATTATCTGTTACTACAGGTCCTGCTTTAGCTTTAGCCATCCGCAGTTCCACAGCCCCTCCATAGAGATTCTCAATTTGAGTTTTAATTGGAGCATATGCCATAGGCACAACCTCAATCGGTATCCCCTTCTTGTACTGCTCCCCCAGCTTGTGCGAATTTTTTGTAAAATCAGCAATAATGATAAGCTCCTTTGCGCAACTAGCAACAATTTTCTCCTGTAATAAACATCCTCCGCCTCCTTTGATCAGTGTTAAGCTGTTATCGACCTCATCAGCCCCATCAATGCATACATCCAACCTGGGGTGGATTTCCAGGTCTGTCAAAGGTAGTTTGTGTTGCACAATCAGTTGTCTAGCTTGGAAGGATGTGGGGACGCACTGTACGTTGATTTTTTCGTTTTTAACGCGTTCAGATAACCTCTCGACAGCGTAGATTACAGTGGAACCACTTCCTATTCCCACTATGTTGTTGTTGTGCACGTGCAAATCCACTGCTTTGAATGCAGCTGCTCTTTTTGCACTTTCTAGCGATGTCATGGCTGCAAGAGAACTGAGACGCGAAAAAAGCCGGAATAATTTCATTAATTTGAAAATATTGTTTTATAGTTTTCCATTGCACTTTGGTCTGCGCGTGCGCGTTTATGCGGGGCGCACTGCGCAATTTTCTGGTTTAAATTTGAATTATGTTACATAAAAGTCGTGTGGTTATATTTAATTGTTATTTGTTAATAACAATAAGTTGTTGTTACATAGTTTTTGGACAAGCATTTGATTTATTTGTTGAGGGACATATGTGCAATAGCGTTTCTCTCATAAAATGTAATTTTGTAATTTGCAAGTCATTAGAGTAACCACTGTAATTACCTTACACGATTTATGTATGTTTATTATTTATTCTAGTTGTATGAATAATATGATGTTATTTTCAAGGATTTCTGCCAATTTTTAAGCACTTTAATAAAGCATTGTTGAAGTCGATGCTTTTGGCTTGGAATATATTGAATGTGTGGTAGGTACTATTTTTTGAATCAAAGAATCATATTTTTACTACTTATTACTTCAGCGTGATGAATTTATGCAACACATTATACACTCGCCTTTAATGAAAATGTTAACGTGATTTCATTTGCCTATTGCAGCTGACTATTTGTTGTTTTACGTTGGTAATACAAATATTTCTAATGATTTCTACTATATGACAGTTTAATTGTCATTGGTTGTCGTAACCTTAGAAAAATCAAGTTTAATAAATATTGTTTCTTCCAAAAAACTTGTGTTTTTTGATACTAAATGCTGAAGGTGTTCGTACCTACAGCATTTAGTACAACACCTACAAATAAGGTCGATTTATAAACTTGTCGCTGACGTTGCTGTTAACCGTTACGTTGCCGTTACCGTTGACGCCGGGTTTTCAACCAATCGAATCCCGGCAGTGTGCGGTGCTGCCAACTTGCACGAAAATCTCCTGAAGTAGGAGGGACATTTTTCTGGTTGACAGCACTAATTCCACGAAAATCCAATTTTGATATAATAGATAATGAGGTCCACTAATATTAAGCCATTTAATCATCTGTTCACCCTCATATTTTAAATAGCTGCTCATTTTCTACACTGTAGCTTTCTGTCAGTACTTATGCATTTTTAAGGATATTTCTCGACGTTTAAATCAACAACATTTATTACTATTCGTCTCAAAAACAGATTAGGTATTATAACTACAAGCCCTTTTTTCTTAATGTGTGTAGTCTTCTTTTCACAACAACAAAGATATAAAAAATGGTAAATTTTTATAGGAAAGTATCGATTCTGCAATTAGGCTCCGCCCCTTGGTCTCATAACGAATGAAAAATGCATCACGATTGAGATTGAGACGGATGGGTGGGGCTTCTCTTGTGGTTTGCTTTTTAATTCATATATTTAGTTTTCTTTGTACACTGCCCCTCAAAATTAACGCAAAATTTTAAAATTTTATTTTGCACAAGTGGAGATCGTACGTATGAACTGGCCTGCACGAAGTCCGGACCTCAATTCCATTGAGCATTTATGGGACATAGTAGGAAAAAGAATTCAAGCATTACAGCACTCTCCTGCTACCCTCCCAGAGCTAACACTAGATTGACGCAAGAGTGGCAAGAAATTGATCAAAAAGAAGTTAGAAATTTAATTAACCATATGCGAGCTGTTGTCAATGCTCGTTACTAAGTCTAACTCAGCGACGGTTAAAGCATTATCAAATAAGATGTTATTTTTTGGTTTCTTGCAATTTGGTTCCAAATCATTATTAGTTTGTTGTTTTTGTCGATTTTTGTTCTAGAATTTCTATATTTGATTTAATAATTACGAACTAGGGACCAAAGTAGGAAAAATAACAAGATTATCTAAGTGTATAAAACGATTACTTAAGAACGTATTTCACATGATAATTTCTCGTAGAAAAATAAGGATTTTACAATTAAGCTCCGCCTCTCGGCTTACGACGAATACAAAAATCATCAGAATTGAGATAGGGCGGGTGGGCGGGGTTTATATTTTGCCTTTTTTTTCTTAATATATATATAGCCATCTTTTCACAACAAGAAACTTAGAACATGGTTAAAATGGTACATTTTTGCAAGGACATATGAATTGTGCAACTATGGGGCCGAGCCTATTGCAGAATTGATATTTCCGTATACAAATTTCTATTTTTAAACATGTTTTAAGTTTCATGTTGGAAAAGAAGTCTGCACACATTAAAACAAAAAGGCAAAATGTAAGTAAGCCCGCCCACCCGTCCTATCTCACTTGTGATGATTTTTTTTATTCGCCGTGGTGAACCAAGAGGGCGGAGCTTAACTGCACAATATGCTTACTTCTTTACAAGAAATTAAAATCTTGTTGCTTAAAAAATACAATGTATATTAAAAAAAAAATCTGACAACGAATGAAAAATTCATTACAATTGAGAATTGAGATCGGGGCGGGTATGGGTGAGGCCTAATCCTTGGCTTTATATTTTTCTTAATATACCTACATAGTATTCTTTGGACAAGATCCTGAAAAACATGTTTTTAATTTCTCGCAGAGAAATAAAGATTTTGCAGTTAAGCTCCGCCTTTTTGGCTCAATACGAATAAAAAAAATCATCACAATTGAGATAGGGTGGGTGGGCGGGGCTACATTTTCCCTTTTTTTCTTAATATGTGCAGACTTATTTCGACAACAAGAAACTTCAAACATGTTTAAAATGGTAAATTTTTGTAGTAATCAACTTAAATCCTCCACCTTTCGTTTACAGCCCCTTTAAATACGGGAATAGTTGATCATCAAAGTTACTCTCAACGCCAACTTGGCAACGAAGTTTATAAATGGCATTTTTCAGTTCTAAAAGCAACGTCAGAGGGAACAGCAATTGCAACGGAAACTTCAACGTCAACAGCAAATTTATAAAGTGGGATTTATATATCGACAGTAACTTTGATGTTTAACTTTTGTCGTATTTAAGGGGGTTGTAGAAGAAAAATGGAGGATTAAGTTGATTACTACAAAAATTTACCATTTTACACATGTTTTAAGTTTATTGTTGTCGAAATAAGTTTACACATACTAAGAAAAAAAAATACAAAAAGTAAGCCCCGCCCACCCACCGTATCTAAATTGTAATGCTTTTTTTTAATCGTCGAGAGCCAAAGGGGCGGGATTTAATTGCAAAACCGTTATTATTTCTTTACAAGAAATTACCATGTAAGATATGTTTTTGAGTACCGTGTTATTCAAAGAATGCTACGCACATATATTAAGAAAAAAATTAAGTCAGAGAGTAAACCCCGCCCATACTTGTCCTGATCTAAATAGTAATGAAGTTTTCATTTATTGGCCGACCTAGGGGCTGAGCCTAATTTGCAAAATCCATATTTTCTTGCACAAATTTACCATTTGAAACGTGTTTTAAGTTTCTAAGAATAAAAAAATGATCACAGTTGAGATGGGGTGGGTGGGCGGTGTCTATATTTTGCCTTTTTTTCTTAATATACGTAGTATTCTTTGAACAACCCGATGCTCAAAAACATGTTTTTAATATCTTGTAAAGAAATAAGTATGTTGCAGTTAAGCTTCACCCTCTTGATTCAGGGCGAATAAAAAAAATCATCACAATTGAGATAGGGAGGGTGGGCGGGTTTTACATTTTGTCTTTTTGTTTTAATATGTGTAGACTTCTTTTCACAACATGAAACTTAAAACATGTTTAAAATCGAAAATTTGAATAAGGAAATATCGATTTTGCAAATCAAAAAATAATTGCAAAATCTATATTTCCTTGCAAAAACCATGTTTTAAGTTTCTTGTTGTGAAAAAATCGCTATGTATACTAAGAAAAATAAGGCAAAATATAAGCCCCGCCCACCCGCCCTATCTCAATTGTGATGATTTTTTCATTCGTCGTGCGCCAAGGGGGGCGAGCTTAATTGCAAAATCCTTATTTCTATACGCGAAATAAAAAACATAATACTTAATCTGTTTTTGAGGTGAATAGCAATAATTCTTGTTGATTTAAACGTCGAGAACTATCTTTAACAATGCATAAGTACTGACAGAAAGCTACAGTGTAGAAAATAATGGCAGCTATTTAAAATATGAGATTTTAAAGTTTACTTACAAAAACAATTACAAATATTTATGTAGAGTGTTGGAGTCTAGGATGTTTCAATTGTTCAGTCATGTAGTCTGATAGGTGCAGAAATACTAAAAATTAAGAATATAACTTTGAAAAAAAGAGAAACAATTCTAATTTGAACCTATTTGTGGCACTCGTTTTTTTGTTAATAAACCAGTGAAATTGAAATGACACTAGTATGTAGTTTTCGTCAAAAATCTATACTGCATTAACCTTGAAAGAAAATGAAAAATTACCTTAAATTTCGTAACTATCTTAACTATCTGTGAAAGTTGATGCGGTAGATGAACTTCGTTATAGTTAAAAACGCTATTTCCTCATTTGAACTTACAACTTAAGCAGTAAAAGAGTGTATAATTTCCCTTGCTTTGCAATTTTCGTATTACCTAATGAAGTGATTTACGTGCATTTTATGTCTTAATATAATCGCGAGCCACGCCAGCTACGTTTCTGTGTTTACACGTTCGCAGTGTATAAACACAATCGCGAGCAACACTCACATTTAATATTACTGTGTTGGACAACCTAAAGATTAAGGCTCACTTTAAGATTTTTTATTTGTTATAAATAGAGAGCGGATTTTATGAAATTTGCATATCCGTTATTTTTTGCATATAAGTCTTGATATTTAATATGTGAACGAATCATGCTAATTAAAAATGAATACAGCTATAAAAAAATTGCATATTTGCATATATTTGCCTTCTGCTGCATATTTCACCAAACGCGTGCATATTTTGCATTTTTATCAATTTTTGTGCTAATTTGAAAAAAAAAATTTTCATTCTATCGGCATTTATCTAGAAAGACGAAATTTTATGAATCATATTGCAAATATTGTCCTGAGCTTCAAATAACTAGGAAAGGTTTGGGTTTTACGGTAGTTTGGAGACACCACTGGGTGTTAAGCCATCCTTTCAGGTAAATTCGCGTCCTAATTACTTTTGGAAATACCATTCATGCCCAATATTTTTGTTCGTTAGTTAAGTGGTACGTTTAGTGGTGGTCGAAGGGACTATTATTTTTCATCGTGAGTTTGTATTGAAAGCATTTAAAGGGATACAGGTATATATCGAAGATAACTCAAATTAATTTATGGATTAAACCTTTTCCTGAACTTATTCTTCAAGAATGAACTGTGTTTTGTGGCGCCTGCCCTAAACCGGTAAGTATTTTTACATCTGTGGACGTAGTACACAGTTTTTCTATTTAGAAATACATATACTTTAGAATCACCGGAAAAACTTTTTGTTAGAATATTTCGAAAAATATCTAAAAATAAATTGTTACCAAAATAGTAATTAAATAATGGATTACTACTATTTTTCAATTTGTTCTGTTTATATTTATTTTTTAGTATAATAAGAATATTATCTTTAAAACCGTGATTTATGAGTTAGTGAGATGTAATTAAACACTTTGCAGTGTGATTTATGTATTTTTTGTAATAAAACGTAAGCTCGGGAACCCTGTTTTTGTATTTTATAAATAAATTTAGTTCGCTTTTTTTTATTTTTGGAGCATATGCATTGCATATCTCAGCATATATTAAGAAAGTTACTGCATATTTGCATAAATTTGGTGCATATCATATGATCATATTTCTCAAAATTTTGGTGCATATTTTCCGCTCTCTAGTTATAAATACGTATATGCAACCAACTATACATGACATTGAACTACACGTGAAAACAATCTATGAACGGATTTTCTAAAAGTTCTAACATGTTTTGGTTCTACTACACGTTTTCTGATTATTTTACTTTCTGATCAACGCACCATACTCAGTCTAAGCGTGCAACACGTCCTGAGAAGTCTCGACTAGGATTGTGAACACGTACTCTTCATAATTTAAAATCGAACAAAACAGAGTTACAACAAATTTGATTGTATGTTGCTGCAGCACCGGAAAAGTATAAAAATGATTGTTAATGGACCAGCGATTAAAAAGGTGTATTAAGGGTGGACGCCAGTTGCAGAAAAATAAACACCGAAAAATTTAAATTAATCTGATTGTTTGATTTATAATCTCCCAAATGGAAATCGTGTTTGGGCATAAATTATAACATGTAAATTGGTTAAAACGAAAAAGAAAACTCCCCGAAATCTTAGTAGTCACTTTATGAAGATCGCGTAATAATAAATTAGATCTAGCGAGCCAACGGTGCTGCTTTTTAATGAAGAGCCTTAATGATTCCGATATTAGTCGAAATAACGACGCAATTCAATCTACCTTCCCCTATTAGATAGCACGATAAGTTTAAATAATGAATTAAGTACATCGGTATTAACATTTGAAAACTCGCCTGCATTTAAATCTTTATCTGTGCGGAAATTAAAATGAAAATCTTTAAAGTGTTTAGTACGGTTATTCGCTGCAAAGTAATTTATCTTGTGAAGCTCGCCTGTTAATCTTAATTCACACTATCAGAGGTAAGTATTTTTGTAACACAAAGAAAAAGACTGCGAGATTTATAGTTCGTACTTCCACGGTGAGCATAGGTAAGTATGTGTCAGCAGCAATTATTTAATTAATTGTTGGTGAGTATCGTGACGCAGCTTGTCGTTTTGGAACGATGAGTTGAAGCCAGGTTGCGAATATTACTCTCATTTAATTATCGTCTCAGTGCATCAGCTAAATGAAAAAATTAGGTGTGTGACGGAAGGACGTTATTAAACGCACACTGTTGCTTATCACGCTATAATTTAGCGGTTTTATTCGACATTGTTGCAGTAAAATTTCAACGAAGTAAATGTGAATTCAAAGTTCATTGTTATTCGGTTTTATAAAGTTTCGTTATTGGAAATATTTAAATGATGACCTGATTTAAAAATATAATAAACAGTTTCAATAATTCATGTTAATAAAACAGTATCAATGAGGATAACCGCGAAGCGTCAACTCTAGTCTGTTTTTGTTCTGATAAAATAAAGGTTTGTGTTACATTTGTATTAAATTGTTGTTAATGTAACGTTGTTTTGTTGCAGCTATGAAGGATATATTATTTATTCTCATTAGTGGAATTCTGATAATATTTGGAGATTGTGCCGAAACGCAAAACGGTTGCGATTACGAACATGACATCAGGACCTATTTTTGTAAGAACATACACGACGCATTCCCTAACGTGTTCTACGGGAATTACCACTTGCAATGTGTCAAGTGCAACATCAGGACGTTCACTAACAGGACCTTCCCCTATACAAATAACCTTGTTTCATTTAACGCTTCCGAGAGTGGAATTAGAGCTATAGCCTGGCGAGCTTTTTCAAGCTTGACGAACATCCAGTACATCTACCTGCAAAATAATGAGATTCAAGAAATCGCACCTGACGCTTTTTGGGGACTACGACAGGTGTACGAAGTCCACCTGGAAAACAACCACCTAGAAAACGCAGTCCCAGGATTTCTGAACGACCTGGAAGCCAACACGGTCCTTCTCAACAACAACAAAATCAAAACTCTACCGAACTCACTCTTCGGAGGATCGTTAGGTTTCCTAATCCTCGACTTGTCGAAGAACTTCATCAAAACCGTACACGAAGATGCGTTTTTTGGTTTAGAAAACCTAGAAGTGTTGAATTTGGAGAACAACCACATTTGCCATCTGACTCTAGGAGTGTTCAAGCATCTACACACACTGAGACAGCTCAATCTGGCTGACAACAAGTTGACGAAATTTACAATTGGGACTTTCTCTGGTTTGACGAATCTCAACACTTTGAACCTCGCCAACAACAGTGTGTCGGTTTTTGATGGGAATATCTTGATACCTTTTGACCATATGTCGAGGCTGGATCTGAGTGGAAACGGGATTTATTATTTGGATGCGAATTCTATCCATGTGAATGTACCAACGTTGAAGACCTTGCGTATTGACGATAACCTGTTGTCTTGCATTCATCTGATTAATATCATTCAGTTTTTTAAGAAGATGCACGTTCAGGTGATTAATACTGTAGGAAGATATCATGTTCAGAACGTCAATGGTATTGCCTGCACGGAGATGATCCTGACGCACCCGGTTGAGTTTGAACAATTTTTGATTGTTGCTAAAGACGACACGAAGAAGTCTATTCAGTACTGTTAGATTTTTCTGAATTAAAGATTTATTGTAACGGCATGGTGTTGTTTTTTTTTTAATTTGATAGTGTGTGCTTTCACGAGTGAGTTCTATAGGCTACAGGTTTCAATTGTGCTATGTTTATATTAATTGTAGAACCTATTCTATGTTTTGAGCTTTTCCTGAGTGTTCCAAATTTAGTCGTTTTTTGCCACTGTCGTAGTTGCTGTCGGTTTTTTCTCGACTTGTTGTTAATAAATTTTCTATTACATATTTTAATCTCATTTATCTTATATTTTGTATTCTCTATGTTCCACCATTTTATTTTGGTTGATTTTTTTTTAGTTTTTTGTCCATTTGTTTTCTGTTCGCAATTGATTCACTCCTGATGTCCGACTTTCCGTTTATTTTTTTCTCATAATTAATTTGAGTACTTTGTTGTAGTACTTTTTTCTAATTTATGGTATATCGTTATCTCCTATTTATTTTTCCTTCATTTTTGTTAGCACTTTTGTGTCTTTTAAATCTTAATTTGAGGATGCTCTTCGCTACGCTAAGATTAGCGAAATATTAGTTTACTTTATCGAGTTAATGAGGACCCTATACAGTTTTATCAAAGTCCAAAAACTGTTTTTGGAAATAATTAAAATTTTATTATTTGTGAAGTTAAAGATGACAATAACTGTGTAAACACAACCTAATTGACACTGTATTAGTGGCTGATAAAGTTTCGTGCCAGGGACGTATATACTTGTAAAATGTACCCTTCGAACTTGAGAACTCATAGCTAAATATTTTTTTCAAAAAAATCGTTGTCAGAACAGTATATAAGTGTATAAAAAAGAAAAAAAGAGTGATGAAAAAATGAAATTGAATATAATTAAGAAATAAATGTCTTTTCTTAATAGTGATAGTGATTAGATTATCATTTGTTGTTCAAGAACTATCTACACGACTTATGGGTAAAAAAAGGTCCAGAGTTATGTAGACAGAATTTCCCTCGTCCATGGAATTCAGGTAAACAAACAGATTCTTTGAAAAATTGTAATATTTAATTTTTCTTATGATAACCCTTATACCTATAAGTTAAAATAAAGATATGTATGGACTATTAAAGTATAGTCAAAGGAGCATGCTATTCATGTGTTTCAAGTGAGTTTTTACATAAGAAAATTTTGTGATGAAGTCGCCAACACATATATCAATTTGGATATGTGCAATGTAATATCAATAATAACAGTACTGTATACTCAAATTTTCGAGAAAACGGGGTGAGCCGTTCTTAATTTGATCAATAAAATAATTTGCCTCAATCATTCATTTTTTGGAGTCACCCTTTTTAAAAGATATGAATTTATTAGGCAAAATTTTGAGATGACGTCATCAGTTTTTCGGAAGAGAAACGGATAAATTTTGATTAATTATTTTTTCTAATAAATAAAATTGTATTCGAGTCCGTCGGCCGATTCTCTACTGATACGTTTTCTTAAGCGTTCATGACTCCTAGAGTACAAACAAGTAGGTCTCCCGTTTCCGTCTGTCTGTCCGTCTGTCCGCCTGTCTGCCATCCCGGATTTTTATTAAATGGATAATCTCCGAAAGTACTGGGCCGATTGTTGTCAAATTTTGTATTTCTATTAGGAATATCATGTAGATGGTAAAACGCTAGTCAAAATTTGTCTAATCATCCCCACTATTAATGTGATGACGTCACTTCAAAATTGTAGATAGTAAATGGGTTTTAAATTGTAGTTTATGACTCCGTGTTGAGCTTTTATCCGAAGGGTAGAGATTTTTGGAAAAAAAAATCAATGAAAAATATAAAACAACATTTTACAATTAAATTTTGAATATGCAAAACGCAAATGTTTTAAGGTTATGATACGCATAATAAATTTTTATTCAAAATATATTTGCTTATCTCCTCCAAAAAATTGATGACGTCATCTCAAAATTTTGCCGAAAAAGTTTTACCCAAATTTTTACTTGTGATTTATCATTGCATTCATATTTTTTAGATTTGCTTAAATATGTGGCTCAAAACATTAATGAATGAGTCAATTTATTTTCCCCGAAAATTTTGGGAATACAATAATGTTATTTTTTAGTTTCCATTTTACACTAAACACGATAAATCACTGAAATGGAGAAAGGAGGTGGGCGGGGCTAAATAAGGTTTTTCTAGTTTTATGAGCAAGCAGTAGCCCCGCCCACCCACCCCTTCTTCGTTCCAGTTAGCCCAGTAATTTCTCTTAATATTGTTCAGTCCTAACTAAGCAAGTTTTAGCCCCGCCCACCCACCCTTTCTTTTCCTAAGAGGATATGTCATTTACTAAAATCAATCTTATCTTAGCAGATACTAGCCCCGCCCATATACGCTGTTGTCATTTTAACGATTTTATTTCTCTTCAATTGAGATCCACCCTTCATTCGGACTACACAAAATGAGTCATTGAAATGAAGACGGGGTGGGTGGGTGGGGTGAATTATATGTTCTTTTGTAAATGAGAATGGGAACTAATAGAGTGTAGGCTGTTAAAAAAAGTGTTAATTGTAATTTTTTTGTTATACTACTTTTTGCTATATTTATTTCTTATTATTAAAAAAAATGAGAGAACGGGTGGGTGGGCGGGGCTAAGTTTAATTTTTTCCTGCAGAATGTTTTATAAACAAGCGGTAGCCCCGCCCAGTGATTACTCTTAATATTGTTCAGTCATTAACCAAAATCAAACAAATACTAGCACCGCCCACCCGCCCTTTATTTTCTGACAGGATATGTCATTTACCAAAATAAATCTTATATTAGCTGATAGTAGCCCCATCCACACACGCTGTTCTCATTCTAACGATTTTATTTCTCTTCAATTGAGGTTCACTCTTCATTCGGACTAGACAAAATGAATCACTGAAATGGAAACAGGGTGGGTGGGCGGGGTCAATTATATGTTAGCGTTAAATTTTTTGGTTGTACTTCTTCTTTGCTATAATATTTATTTCTTATTTCTGAAGAAAAAAAAATGAAAGAATGGGTGGGTGGGCGGGGCTAAGTTTAACTTTTTCCTACAGAATCTTTTATAAGCAAGCAATAGTAGTTTTAAAGATAAATTGCAAAATGTTATACAATTTTGATTTTTTTAATAAAATGTGGATGTCTGGGGCAAAAACTCAACACGGATTTATAAATTACAAGTGCAGGAGTATCTTATTTTGTAAAATTTAAATAATATTTACCAATGTAAATTTTTGAGATGACATTCTATTGTTGGTGGAGATAATATTTGTTATACACATATAAAATTTGATAACAATTGGTCTAGTAGTTTTGAAGATTCTCTGTCTAATTAAAGACAAACACACAGACAGACAGACGGAAACGGGTGATCTATTTTTTCGTTCTCTCCGTTTTATGAAACGTCAAGAAAACATGAAAGCAGCCAGTCGTCCGATGGACTGGATTACAATGCTTCCTTAGCTTACGCTCGGTAACCAAAGGCAAGGGTTGCATAAACATTTTTGTAAAGTAATTGTGAAGAAAATTCTAGGCGGATTCATAAATCACAAGTGTAGGAGTATCTTATTTTAGAAAATTTAAATAATGTTTATTGTACAAAAGGATGTCATCAAATTTTACCATCCACACGATGTTCATAACATACATCTAATTTTAGCAACAATCGATCCAGTAGTTTCGGAGATTATTTGCGTAATAAAAATCGACATAGGGAGAAAACAGACGAAAACGGGAGACCTATTATTTCGTACTCCAGAGGCACGAAACGTCGACTAGACATGAAAGTAGCCATTCGCCAGATGGACCTTATTACAGTACGTTTACGCTTGGAGTGGTACAAATTATTTTTCTTTTAAATTTTACGTTTTACTTAGTATATTTAGAAAATCAGAGCCCAGGATTATTCTTAAGATGTTAAAAAAATTTTAACAAAATTTTACTCTGTATAGAAATTTCTTGAAAATAATTTTGTTTACTGTTTCTTTTAATAATGAACCTATGCAACAAGACTGGTTTAAGTAAAAATTTAAAATTTTATGGCTACTTTTATGTTTTCTCGACGTTTGGTTACCCAAAGAGTACGAAAAAATTGCGTCTATCTGTCGTCTGTCTGTGTTGATTTTTATTAGACAGATAATAACGTTCTTCTTATAGTATGTAATATAATCGACGATCTAAGAAAAACTGATGAACTATACGACAACCACAATCGGGTTTTGGAAAAAATGTTGCAAGTAGTATGAAAAGAAAACACAGGAGTTTGAAAGATTGTAGAATATTTTGCAGTTGTGATGATTGGTGTCCGATGATAACACAAGCAAAAACATACATATTAATAGCGGAGTTCCTCAAGGTTCGGTCTTAAGACCGATTGTAGCGAATTATACTTCAGTGAGCTACTGAAGGAGCGATTCCAAAAAATACTACCATTATAGTGTCCTTAAAAGATGGAGTGTAAGGCCCTAACCAAGACCAAAAGATGCAGTTGAAATAATAAAGAAAATTTTGGTATAATTTTGACAACACCTTGTCAATAAGAAAGAGTCATCTTGAATCAATTTTATTAGGGTTATTACCATACACCTTACGGCACTGAATTTGCCTGATTATTGCACTCACATGTCACATGATGTCAACTGACCAATCAAACGCGTCAATATTTGTAAATTCAACCAATCAGCATACAATTACGTGATAATTGCACACTGTGCAATTACCACTACCGATAATTATCACTAGCCAGATGTGCCAACTATAAGATAAGCAAGTACCAGTTAATTGCAAAAAAAAACAAGAGGTTACTAACCAAATATTTAATTATGAAACTAAGAATTGTAATTAATTATGGTACAGTTGTAGTAATTTACAGGGGTTTGTGTGCTTGGTGAAGTAGTAACTATATTTTTAGACATTTGTACCAAAGCAGACGGTGCGCAATTTGTGGATTTGTTATTAGACTCTTCCATAGCCGTTGAGTTGGCGCGTAATTTGTCAATCATTTGATAATGATGATCTCCATCGAGCTGAAGGTATGGTTTGATGGAGAAAG